GCCTCGATCCTACTTCGGCCCAACTCGGACCCAACGCTATGTATACCTTCGTAGCCCCCACATTCGTAGAATCATCATACACCAGAATACCAATACACAAGATTACCTTAGCTACTGTTATTCACCGTACGATCGTACAAGGCCTTCCAACACTTTCTATCATTTGAGTGGCGAAGGCTCAGCTAAAAATCTTGTAAGATACCTACTTGGATCAGAAATGTCCATCGGTTCTGTCGGTTCTGTCGGTTCTGTCGGTTCTGTCGGTTCTGTCGGTTCTGTCGGTTCCTTATTATTAGATATCCGGCGGTTAGCTGTTACGGACAGTGACTTCCAGACGGTGAGTTGTCAGCCTAACAACAGGTAATCGGGCCGGAAGATTCGAAGGGGCACCTCACCGCAATTCTATGTACCTATAAGGGGCGCAACCCCGGGGGGCAGTCTTAAGCTCGGGAGCACAATCGGACAGGCCAAGGTAACAAGATTGTATTCGATAGAGAGCTAAGCTCTCGGCTACGTAGCTATCTACATACAATGCTAGTTGCTAGAGCAACCATCGGGCCGGGCAAGTAAAATAAACGAGATCGTAGACAAGTATGGGAGGCGAAGGGCGTTCAGCCCGTTACAAGTACCCAGATTCTGCTTACCGTCCGAGCAGCGTTCAGACAGTGCGCTCAGACACTTCGGCATAACTCTTTTCCGACAAGTAAATAAACATCACGCAAGTAGAGTAACTAGATAGCTCCTTATCGAATACAACCTCTCGTATACCTCACGATTGCTCCCTGGAGCGCAGCCCCTTACATAGTATTACTAATCTATATTAACGTGCGCCACCAGGCATCCGGCCACCCCACCAAACCTAACCTAACGTTTTCTACTATTACCGGTAATCCTTAACGACGCAATAAAATTTAATAGAATTTGTGTTGGAAGGCCTTGTACGATCGTACGGTGAATAACAGTAACCAAGGTAATCTTGTGTATTGGTATTCGTGTGTATCTTCTTGTCAGATTTTTTTTGGGATGGGATCGAGGTGTCTATTGTCTGTCTCTGTCTACGGCTCTGTCTGTGGGAGGTGGCCTCGCCTCGGGCTTGGCAGTGCTAAGTCCCGGCGCTAGCCCTGGTTTGGGGGTCTCATGTCCTTCCCCAACCACCATCGGCTCGATCATGAAGCAAAACCTCGCATCAATCTGACAGCTGCATGCACGAGCTTGGATTACACGGCTGACTAAGCCGTGTGGTCCGAGCTCTAGCTGTTGCCTTACTGCCGACCTCCCTCCACCTCCATAGAAGAACAAGAACAATCACAATCATTTCAACTCGTTGCAACGAAGGTGATTCCGATACCTTAGCCGTATCAACAGGCAGGATCCAACAAGACCCCACCAAAAGCACGACTTATCGCGATAGTATTGCACTGTACAGAACGGCAAATAAAAATCGTAGTAAGCTATTCTACTTACAATCTACCGCTATATCTTGCTTGCATGTGCGCAAGTTATGCCCAGTCTCTCCGCAGCGTCCACAGCGCCTTTGCGACGGCTCGCCTACCTCAACGCGCGCCCTCTTCTTCGCCTTCTTCCCATCACTACGCACCCCAAACTCCTTTAGAGTCGTTAAGCGCACGCCTTCGTTAACCATAAGGATTCTTTCCTGCTGTATCCGCTTTTTTTGTGCGATTTACGTCGCGTGGCCGCTTCGTTAGCTGCTCGAAGCTCAGCAATCTCTCTTTGCGCCAACACAAGCTGATGCGCAACTATCGCTGCGCCCTTTGAGATCTTCTCAAAAGCCTCAACCATAGAAGTTAGCGAACTATCTACATGTCTCTGAATCCTCTCCTTCACAAGTGTTGATTGCGATCCGAATTCTAGGGTGTTACTTGGGGTTTGCGACTGCCAGCGGGTGTCCTCGGCGGGAGGTTATGAAGGAGTGCGCAGGCGGATATCTATCGTCGATATCACAGCCTCCGGGTTAAGGGGGACTAGGCCAGCGCCCCGAAAGCTTCCTTGTATGTTAGACTTTGTAAAAGTAGCGTCAAAGGCGCGTTTGAAGCACGGTAGAAACTCCAGTTTAGTGATATGGGTGATCCGGTTGCGCATCAGATCCTCGGCTTGGCGACCATACCGCTTCTTTAACGGCGCAAAACAACCCACATCAAGTGGTTGCAAGAGGTGCGACGAGTGAGGAAACATACAGATAGTAATAATCTTTTTGTCCTTGCAGTACTGCTGGAAATCAAGCGAGTTGTAGCTCTCATGACCGTCAAGAACCAGCAGGCGATAACTACTAATAGTCTTCCCCTTTGTATGCCTGTCAAAGTGCTCTAGCCACTGTAGACCGAGCTTGTTGTTTGTCCAGCCGTTCTCAGAGACCCTAATAACCCAATCCTGTGGCAGGTCCTCCTCTTTATACCATGCGGAGAGGTGGTGCTTGCCCTGGAAGATAATAAAGGCTGGGATAGCCCAGCCCGTCGCGTTGATGCCTTGGATGACTGTAGTCCACTCTCGGTTGCCCTGCTGCACTGTCTTCGGCCGTCCTCGACGCTCAGAGCCAGTGACTACTGCTCCTACTGATATCTGTCCCATCATAAAGCCAGACTCGTCAAAGTTGTAGGTGTCGTCGTCAAGGATACCATGCTTAGCCTTAATGTTCTCTACCAACTGGAACCAGCGTTGTGTAACCTCAGGATCTTCGCAGAGGGCTCTCTTATAGTCTTACTTTCGATTGAACTTGACTTTGAGCTCAGGGCGACGTTTAACAAAGGTTGCAGCCCAGTTGATACCGACTGGTACTAAGTAGCGCTCCGCTCGTAAAGAATTGGCCATATCTTGAACAGCAGCAAGCCGAGGGGGAAATTCTCGCACGTTAAGGTCAAGAATATGCCTAATAAGCACATCCTTCTCTGTATCTAATAGTCTCTTTAAGTTGGGCCTACAATCGCGTCGAAACATCCTTCCAGCGCTTCGTCGGTAGGGTTCTTTCAGCAACTCTGTAGATCGATGCAGTGCGTGGAACTCAGAGATTCGCGTCGCGTTTGATAGCCTGAAGTGCAAGCTGTAATTGACGCTCTTTTGAAGTCGGTAGACTTTCTAGTCCTTGGCTCATCGCGATCGTATTATTGGAAGAGTGGTATTTGGTGGGGTCTTGACAGATCCTAACACTCGCCCGTGGAGTAACTATGTTGCAGTACAATGCAGTCAATTAAAGTGTAACCGCGCGAGGCAGTCATCAGAGTATATTGTGTTCTGTTGTTGTTGTGCTGTCATGGCCACCTTATATGTAGCCATAATCAGGGTCTATTTACATGACGTATCTCTGATGCTGGTGAGGGGAGAAGGTGCTCATGGAGGGGAGGGAGGAGCGCCAGGACAACGCACGTGACATGCGCAATACCCTTGCCTCACAAACCGCAACAAACTACGTTAAAGACTATCCTAGACTATCTACTACAGCGCGACACGGATAAGTAGCGCGAGTCGCTAACGTCACTAAGTTTGCAGGCTTCGAACCAATTGTTTTGGTTTTCCCTTGTTCTAACAAAGCGTCGTAGGCTGACGTATTTTTGTAACGGTTTGGGCCTTGCCAAGACCGACTTGGGCGAGAGTTGGGTACGGCTATCGCTACCACACTTTCTCATCACACACACCTATATAGCTGCAGATCCTCCATAGCTATACAATGCAACGCAGTCCTCCTCTCCTCACACCGCTACAATTTTGCCTACCTGCGCAATCCGGTTGCCGTCCAAGTTATTAGTTGTCAGTTTGTGCTGACTCGCATTTCATAAATTTGTCTAAGGCTGATGAACCAGGAAACACTCAAGTACTGGGGCCATGAAATTGGGTGTAGGTCATATCATTGGTCTTACGTAACACGACGAAGCAATTTCTGACTAAATATGTTACAAAACCTGTGTAGATCTTATATCTCTTGACCTTACCAGCTAGCAATCAAAGCAGCGTCTCTTCTCGGCTGCCTGCCCATATTCATTCGTGGTTGATTATAGAGAGAAGACTAGAAACTTCCTCGAAGACGAAGCTTTGTGGGTATAGGAGACGCATCCGAGCAAAAAACCCACTGGCAATACAAAGCAGCGCTTGATCTTCTCTTCTTAGCTCGGTATTCTGATTTAGTAAGGAGTTCTGAGCAAGCAGGCAGAATGAAAAGACACTTATGAACATGAAATTCCTAATCGATAGTCAGGGGCTTCTGTAATCAATCACAAGGTTGTTCTATGCTTACTGGTCTTGAAGCAGATCATCAGACGGTATCGTAGAGCACGAAAGCACGACCTCCCGGATAGATCGCCGACGGATCGCTTCCCATTCTTGGTGCGGCGGATTGAAGGGATTGTACTGGTTTAATGAGCAAATGCTCACTAAGTGAAGCAATGCCTCATGGTAAAGACAGAATGCTTGATGCTTAACGCGTCTTGCTGTGCTTTCCTCTAACGTCGACATGAACGGATTCTCTACGATTGATTCGTGCCAATCATCCAATGCTTTTGCTAGCTCTCTAGTTCTTCCTATAAAGGAACCAGACATATTCTCGTCGACAGCTTTGCGCAACTCTGCTATATGCAGACAAAGATGCGCATATTGCATTCGAGCATGCAAGAGCTCAACCGATACCGCGGTATCGTTTCTAAGTGTTAGATTGTTTTGTGTATCTAACACAGGAAGAGCTTCTTTGCTAACGAGCTATTTGAATTAGTCTGGTCAGACCTAGGCTTATGTATTAACAGCAGTATACTTACTGGAAGAGTTTGCCACCTCAACGCATAGGACTTGTCGATACAATAGAGGACCCGAATAGCTTGCCCAACCTGCGCAGCCTGCTCTTCACTAAGGCAAGTGGCATGCACTACAGATCTCATTTGGAGTTTCAATGAACTTGCGGTTCCAGCACACCCTAGAATTAGCGCATGTAGTTCTTTTTGGTTCATCTTTTCAGCAAGACAAAGCTAAACGCATTAGTAAACCTATCTTATCCACATAAATTATGTACTCACCATAGCAACAAGCGCCTGAAGTGATTTTAGTAAAAGCATACGTAGTGTCTGTTGCTAACCCTTACCAGGAACTTATCCACACTATCAGCGTGTCTGAATAAAAGTTTTGTCATATCTTCAACAGCATCTGCTAGATCAGCCTTGACAGGGGTGTTAACCTCTGTGTCGAGTAGAGCTCCCCATGTAATTGTGACTAGTAACAAGTATAACTCGGTAGGCTGGACCGATCGTTTTTGGGGGTTGAGAAGTGCCCTGTGTATCTGTATAACATGCTGGGCTTTTATGAAAGTGTTCAAGCTAGCTTTAGATTAGATAGATGCAGACATAAACTGTGCACTAACTTACTTACCCTCCTGGTTCTTGAAAAGCTTCTTCGTCTAGTTAGCACACTACCCTAGTATACGATAATAGACTTACTATAAATCCATGCATCTATTTTCGGGCTCACCATGTCCAGGGATGAGGGTTGTTTCCCATCAACACCACTTTTCCAGAAAGAAGGGAGACATAATTGACAGTCAGACGAAAGTAGAGTCTTAATCGCTCTCATCGCAGCTTGCTTCGTAGAGCTCCCTAGTTTTGACGCGTGGATAGCAGCTGTTATGTCGCATACTCTAGAAACTGGAGTAGTCTTCTTCCTGGATTTGTATTACTATGGATTTGTATGCAGAAAAGAAGTACTGACCTGTAGAGGTTCTAGAAAGACTTGCCAACCCAGAGCTGGAAGGGAAAAGGGGAGTGGGCCCTGTTGCGAAGCATTCCTTGTTACATTGTGTGAATCAACTTCACTATTTCGACGAGCAGCTAGGTTCAAGCTATTCTCGAAGGCACTTGGATTGTCGCTACTTCCAGGAGCCGACTGTAATATCTGCCTCGTTAAAATACTGTTCTGCATGCAACTGCCTGGTCCTATGTAAGTGTTAGCTCGCCAACAGGAAATCAATGGTAAAGTATAACCCGATCAGCAGATAGAAGTATAGTTGCTGAAACGAAATCGAAAGACAAGAGTTTCAAATAAAAACGCACCTTTTCCAGATCCAGTGGCTAGATGCGATTCACCAAAGAGGCTAGCATCGAAATAACGAGGTGTCCCCTGCGCAACTACTCGTGATAGATCATCTTCACGATTAAGTCCGGGACTCCTCATTTGCTGTATGGGATTCTCATAAACAAAGTCGAACAAGTCTAGAGAAGCTGGCGTCACTAGGCCCTTCATTGTGGGTAAGGGCGAAGTAACGTTCTGGAAGGTGTCGCTGTAACTAGGCGAATTCGAATTAATTGAGCCTCCTTGCGATCCCTGAGAGCGCCGTGTATGCAGGTATATACAAGGAGTCAAGGCCTTCTAAGTAAAGGTCAGGTTTCCATGATAATGTATGATGGTTTTTTTACTTCACAGCTGTGACACGGACTAGCCCCATCACCTGTTCCAACAGTATTAGCATATGTTTCCTAAATTTGAGGCAGTATAGCGCACATCGGATCTTCTTTGAGCGACATTCTTTACATGCGCCTCTCCTGCGTGTGAGCTTTGGACGAGAAGTATCTGCTTGGGAGCTCATAACGATAACCAGTCTAAAAAGGCTGCACTATCAGTGAACAAAAGTCGAACAAGTGCCTCATCTTTTGGTTTTACATTGCGTATTGCTTCGAGCTTGGTCAGCTTTAAGAATACTGCCCTTAGACACGCATTGCAATGAAAGATCTACGTAGAGGGGTCGAGTTACATCCGCACAATCCGCACAAATGAGATCCCTGTACACGGCACTGATTCTGCGATCAGCAATCAAAAGCCATGACGAATTAGCCAGGCTTGGTTCCATAGGGGAAGACTCGAGAGTAACATCTATCCCTGTGCCGAAAAACCTTGCGTGCCGAAAGCGACTTAACGGGTTATTTCTGCACATAGGGATCATCGTCATACAGGGATAGACTTTACGTCCTGTTGAGTAACCTAGCTACCTTTGTGGAATGAACTACGAGGTGGCTATTGACACAGCCTGCATCAAGGCACAGGGTGGAGACTACCGTGGGGTGGCTAGATCAGGGGGCAGTTGCTTGGCTGCATTACGGCTGCATCGCAGCAGACCCCTTGAAGAAGACTCTAGGTGCATTGGGTGTCACCCCTACTCCTACTTGCAAGCTTCCGACGCAGCCGGTTAGGAGCCGGGGAACTAGGTAGGCCTCTGCATACGTGGACGTCTCCGTTATAGGCTCGCTTAGACACCGCGTTCCGAACTCGTCCGGGACGCGCCCACAGACTTGTCAACAATCAAGCTGCAAACAAGCACTTGATTGAGGCTTGATGAAAACTGCAAGTCAATCAAGTCAAGCCTCTGCCTAGGAATTTTGCAATCAATCAAGCCTCGAGGTCAAAGGCTTGATTGATTGGCTGGATTGGCTTGATGTTTTAGCGTTGATTTTAGTGAGGCTATCAAGTTTGCCGTGCGAGCGATCTCGCGATAGTTTTATGGTGTTGAGTCTCGCTTAAGGTACCGCTAACGTTAGTCAGCTATACTTGCGCGACGACTCTTATGTAATTACGTTCCTTTCAGAGCCGCTAAAGCCTACTTATTTACGTATATTAACGCGTCGTTTCGTGTTATACTTACCTCTATCGTCGCTATGCCGCTTAATCGACCCCCTAAGCGTCCGCGCGGAGACGCGTTTGCACCGAACAAGCGCGCTAGAGTCGCTGCTCGCGGTACGGAGTCGCAGCCTATCGACATCGACAAGAGTCAACAGCCAGCTCAACGTCTATCACCGCGCAAAGCCCTGGCGATTACCACATCCCAGGCCACCGAGCCGCCCACCTTCGAGTCGCAGTTGCGCGAGAGCCAGCCTGAAGCCGCTATCGTAGCGCCAACCGAGGGCAGCAGCGCCGCGACGGCTGTTATAACTGAAGACGACGAGGATAGCAATGAGGATAGCGACAAACGTCTTGATGAGCGCTTTGCCGACAACTTTGATGGCATAGATTGGTCGCGTTTGCCGCTATATTGCAAGCCTGTATCCACCCAGAAGCAGCGCAAAAGCTGGATATACCGCTATGGCTACCGCGTTGCGCTCATCAAGGACCCTGATCGTCTCTTTTTTGTCTGTCGCTATTGCCACCAGCACAAATGGATAGACGCTAGGCAGGGCGGTATATACGAAACGACGCTCTCGACAACTTCAGCCTGCCATCTTGAGCAAGTTAGACGCGGCCATAGCCTTACAGCTCCTAGTAAAACGCACAGTATAACGAAGGCAAGCAAAGGGGGGCTGCGCGCTCTATTGAAAGCCGCTAGCGTTAAGGTATTGCAGGGCCTTGCTAATGAGCTTGGGGGGTTTGATTGCCAGGCCTTTCGACATGCCGCAGTCGCCTGGCTTATCGACAGCAACCACCCGCTCTCTGAGTTTCAAAAGCCCGCCTTTCGACAGATGCTTAAGGCTGCAAACGTAGAGGCAGCTGCGGCGTTGTGGACGTCCCACGCAAGCGTTTCGCGGTACGTCATGCGTCGTTTCGACTTTATGTTACCCCAGGTCGTCATTGATCTGTCGAAGGCCCTTAGCAAGATTCACATTAGTTTTGACGGTTGGACAACAAAGGGCGGTAAACGCGGCTTCTTAGGCGTTGTCGCGCACTACGTTAACAGCGCTGGGGACCTCATAGACCTCCCTATTGCGCTGCCCCAACTAACGGGCGCCCATACTGGCGAAAAGATTGCAGAAGTTGTTAGCAAAACTCTGCAGCAGTTTGGCATCAACTCGCGTACTGTTGGCTACTTTATGCTCGACAACGCTACTAATAACGACACTGCTGTCCTCAGCATCGCGCAGCAGATGGACCTAACCGCTGCCCATCGTCGCCTCCGCTGCGGTGCTCATACTCTTAACTTAATTGGTCAGGCGTTACTTTGGGGCAGCAACAACGATGTGTACGACAACGATCGCAGCGAGCTTGCTGTTGAGAGCGAGCTGTTACGGAATTGGCGCGAGGATGGGCCACTTGGCGTACTTCTTAGCGTGATCAACTACATTAGAACGCCGCAGCAGCTCGAGCTTTTTGAAAAGTTCCAGCGCATAGCTAACGCTGAGCTGCTCGCTGATCAGCGCGAAGTGCTTGCGCCAGTTAAGCCAGTTGTCACGCGCTGGAACTCGTATTATTCCGCCTTTGAGCGCGCTGTTAAGCTGCAGCCCGCTGTTAACGCTTACGCCCATCATCATATATGTCGCGTGCGAGATGAGGATACATATGCGATTAGTCGTGGCAACAAGCTACCTGAGGCTGCGGACTGGATGCGATCTGGCGGCCTTACAGCTGCTGACTGGGCAGTTGTTACTGAGTATATCGACGTGTTGAAGCCACTAAAGTCGGCAACAAAGCGCCTAGAAGGACGTGGCAAAGACACTGAGGGCCGCGTTGGAGGCGGTCTTTACGGCGCTATCGCTGAGGTTATCCCAGTCTTTGAGTATATACTTACTTACTACGAGCAACGCGTTAAAGCTTACGAGGCTGTCAACTATAACGCGCATAATGAAGCGCCCGAAGACCACCTCGCGATTAACCTTTGCGCTGCCTGAGCGAAGGCTAATGATTACTACACCAAGCTTGACCTCTCACCCGCGTACTACGCTGCAACTCTACTCCATCCACGCTATAAAACGTACTGCGAGGTCGCCTGGGCAGACAAACCTGAGTGGCTAGAGGCTAACAACCGCACGTTTCACGAGCTTTGGGCAGAGTACAACACCTCACCGCGTGCTGTAAGGCGCCCAAAGGTTATCTCTAACGAGATCGATGACGCAATTGATGCCCTCCTAGACCCAGATGGCGCTGTGGCTGCTACCGACGGTTATATGGATGAGTACGAGAGGTGGAAGGCGTGCGAACCAAAAGCTAGTAAGGGTAGCTACGCTGCCGTTCACCCTATCAAATACTGGGTAGGCTTGCGTGATCGCTACCCTAGCCTTGCGCAGATGGCTATTGACATGCTCTCTATCCCAGCTTCAAGCTGCGAATGTGAGCGCATGTTCAGTGAGCTTGGCGATCTCCTTGAGCCTCGGAGACGGCAGATCTCACCTCAGTTATTAGCCGCTATACAGTGCGTATGGCGGTGGCATAGGGCTGGCTTTGATCAGGGCGACGATAGCGCTGCCGCAGCGACTATGACCGACGCTGATATAGACGCTATATATCAATTGTGCGATTGGGATTACGAGAATGAGTACTTAGTATAGGCAGTTGGGTTGTACAACAGCAAGCCAATCAAGCTTTCAATCAAGCCTCAAGCCAAAAACTGCAAACAAGCTAATCAATCAAGCCTCATAACGGATGTTCAAGCCTCAAGTCAAGCCGGAAGCTGAGACTTGATTGACTTGATTGTTGACAACTCTGATCGCCGCTTTCAGCCTCAAAACAGTTGATTCCATTTCGGGATATTTTTGCTGCTTTAAAACGAAGTCTACATAGTTCACGAATGGTGTTGGTATACTTATAGTGACCAGGCTTCGGTCTCGACAATGACCGGCTCTCAGTTCTGTATCCTGAAATCACTAACTTTGTTGGTTGGCTTTGCACTAAGTGCGTAAAGGGAAATAACGATAACTAGGAATGCATTCTGTTCGGTGATGGTTCTTGTTGATTACGAACATAGCTGCTACGAAGGTATACCTAAGCTCTGCGCAAGGTGGGCCGAAGTCGGGCCGAAGTGTCCAGCAGCCGACGTCTCTACCGATACTCACGATCCGACAAACTTTGTATTTTTTGTTTCCGAACCGTCATTGCTATACTGATGAACCTAGGGGGTCTGTGGTATAGACCTCACTGGGACTCTCATTGATCTAAAGCAGCCTTGCCTCCGAACCCGTTCAATTCTTTTGCCACACGATGAATGTCGCATTCCCAGTTCAAGCATGTGTGCCAGCCAGACTGATTGCATTCCCAGACGAACCCTTCTCCATGTTTTTCCTGCTGAATTTCTTGCATCTGAATGATCTCTTGAGGGTCGTCATGCCCTGGGAAGTATGGTAATTTTCTCTTGTCCCATAGATGACTTGGACATTGATCATTCTTGCACTTGAACCAGGCCCACTGGCACCGAGCGAATCCTTTTAACCTCCTTGGAAACCATCCTGTCCCCGTCTTATCAGAATAGTGGGTTATGCAATGGTCGTGAATGCATGCACTCCATGAGAGCTTCGCATGATTCCCGTTCCTATAATCCATCCAGTAAAACGTTTCGTCCGGTCGACTCTTCTTCTTTGTCTTACGCTTAAGGTACTTGACATCTTCTAGCAGCGAGAGTTTCTCTTCAGTCATTTCTGCTTTAAATGACTGTTCCCCAATCTCCCATGAGTATTCTACCCGTTCAGTCCAACCTAGTTCGGCGGCGATAAGCCCAAACTTTTGAAACGTCGGTGGAATATCGTTCTTGCCTTGTTGGTTAACTTCTTTCCATAGCTTGTAGAACTGGCATTGCATTGCCATCATGGCACCTGCTGATCTGGTATCGTAGCTGATTGGTGGTCTGTTGAGGTAATGCTGTAGCTCGTTGATCTGCTGATTGAGGAGCTCTGCTGAGTGTATGTCGGCGTATGAATTGGGTGGGCAGTGTTCTTCTTTGAGCTTTGCCATCGTTTCATACTTTGTGTGGTTGGATTCTACTAGCTCCAGTGTATCACCCGTTCTTCCTGTTGCTGTAAAGGTAAAGTCTTCAAGTTTCGTGACTCTTCCTCCATTATTGAAAGTCGCGCAACTAGCCGATGGGCGAGAGACAACATCCCATGCCTTGTCCCTAGCCTGGCCGTCGGTTGTGGCATTAAGTTGCCTCGCAGCCTTATTCCTGCTACGACAGTTTCTGACCACGTGGCCGTCTTTTCCACAGCGAAAGCAAGTGATGTTTTTCTTGCCATGTTGGTTTTTATTTCCTCTAAACCCTTTTCCTTTGTTAAATTTATCAGGTTTCGTTGCATCGTGATCTTGCCAGTCTGTCCAGGGGGAAGGTACCACGCCTTTGGATGTCATCCAGTAACCAGGTTCCTCCAAAGAACGCCCCTTAGTGCGTTGCTCAGATTGATGTAGTATAATAGCCTTGGCTTTGTTAGGGGTGCGCCTTGAACCGTTACTCATCTTGAGGGTCTTTGAAGTGTGAAGGGCTATTTCCCTCAGAAAATCACACTGCGGTAATTTTCTCGAGATAGAAAAAGTCATTTGATATACAAAATAGTAAGTTGCACTGAAATCATCGAAAGATCGAAATGACAGTGCAGGAGGAGAAGATCAGGCATGATATCGGATACAGCACAGTCTAATGGAGTTAAAAACAACAAGCGTAAGATTACGTGGACTAACACTAAAACACTTGGGAGTCTGCTATTTTCTGGGTCTTATCAATCTATCACCTAACCAATGAACTTTACCATGATTATCTTGTTCTTTGTTAGGGCGGCCCAGTACGCAGCCATCTTGACAACGATAGCCGGCCTGTAGCAGGTAGTCGAGGATCGTCCTGGACCATCCTGCACCATGATTCCCCCGGCATTTTGACAGCCGTAAATCTTGTTGAGTGGCCGAGAGTCATCAATACCCCGTGTTGGGTGCAAGGACCTCGACCTCATCTTCGCCTGTGAGCACTCATATCGTCGCGGTCTATTACACTTTTGTCTACAAATCAGGACGGGCTAGCCGTCTTTGCTTCTATACCCGGGCAATCGGCAAATTAACTAGTCGGATCTCGGCTCTGTCGGCTCTGTCGGCTCTGTCCTAATCATAACCGAATTCATGTATGTGTCAGCTACCTGGGTTGATCCACCAAGTCCTGGTGTACCGCGGAGAATAGAGCTTGTGTTGCGGTTTGTGAGGCAAGGGTATTGCGCATGTCACGTGCGTTGTCCTGGCGCTCCTCCCTCTCCTCCATGAGCACCTTCTCCCCTCACCAGCATCAGAGATACGTCATGTAAATAGACCCTGATTATGGCTACATATAAGGTGGCCATGACAGCACAACAGACAACAGAACACAATATACTCTGATGACTGCCTCGCGCGGTTACACTTTGATTGCGAACTTCGGATTTGATCTGTGTTAACGTCATCGATCATCGAACCGCCCACATCATCAAACCGCCCACCTTGTGCACCTACCCACCCTTCAAATCAGAATATCTCCACAACCACATATCCAAATCAGGTAATAAGTAGATAGAATTAATCGCCTAATTCAGTTGCATCTTTCTTATAGGTCCGCCTATTATGCCCCAGCTGTCTACACTGTTTGCAGCTATAAATCCGCGATTGCGTTGCACCTGCCTCACGCCTCATCTCACGTGTTTCCTGTGCTGCCGCCTCTACTACATCTATTTGGGCAATTAAATCCTCTGCCTCTGCCTGTGATAGGGTCCCACCTTTCTTAATCCGGCGCTTTTTACGCTGTTGACACGGCAAAGGTGTCGAATACTAGCAGTCGTTGCAACGAACAAAGTGTATAGTATTTGATTAGTAGTGAGCAAGAGCTGGGTGGAGAGATCTCCATATGTACAGGTGCGAGCTGAGCGGGAAGCTTGGTCTACCTAGTGGTCCAAGCTTCCGGCCCGGAAAAACTCGCTGGGCTGGCTGTACGCGCATGTCTCGACATACGCTGTTTTCGTTCTGTGGCTGCAGCGTTGGCAGCTCGGAGTCGACCCATCTCATCAGCCATAAGAGCGTAAGAATGCACCATCATCTTGGCACCTTTGTTAAACTGCTGCACCATCTCAATAATCGAAGCTGGTGATGAGCTATGGTGCTGCCTAATCCGATCAGAGATAAGGGTTGAGTGAGCATCTATCTCAAAGGCGTTGCTTGGTGTTCTGGGTTGCCAGGTGGTGGTTGGTAAGGGTGGTGATGGCGTACGAGGCTTGATTTCAAGTCGTGATATCACCACCTCTGAGTTGATAGGAACTAAGCCAGTTGCACGGAATCCAGATCTGATGTTATTAGACGAGAAAACACCCTTGTATACTGCTAAAAAGGCTGCTAGGAATGCCTTTTTGTCGATATGGTTGACGTCGTAGTTTGCCAAGGCTCCTACTTCCTTCTTGTACGCACGCTTCAAGGGCCCGAAACACCCAACGTCAAGCGGCTGAAGGATATGGGAGGTATGAGGTGGCATACAGAGAGTGATGATGTTGTTCTCCTTGCAGATATCCTGAAACAGGACTGATTGGTGGCTCTCATGGCCATCAATAATGAGCAGCCGATACCCGCCCACTGTACGCGCGGTGGTGTGGTCAATAAAGTGCCTTAGCCAGGCTACTCCAATCTCGTTGTTGGTCCATCCTTTGTCTGAAACAGCTACCCTCCAGTCCTTGGGGTTGCCATGATACCAGGCCTGTTGGTGGTTCTTTGCTCTGAAGATGAAGAACGGTGGAATCAGCCAACCCATGGCGTTGATTGCCGCAATTAAGGTTATCCATTCCTTGTCACCAGCCTGCCGGCTGATAGGTTTAAGACGTTGTTGAGACGCCGTTACTACTTTGACAGACCCACCAAGGCTTATCTGGAAGCCAGTCTCGTCGAAGTTGTAGGTATCTTCGTCTAGGATACCATACTTGGCTTTCATGTTGGCTACTAGCCTAAACCAGGGCTCAATAATAGCTGGATCGCTGCACAGGATCCGTTTATAGTCCCGAGGTCGTGATAACTGAGTCTTGATGTCTGGCTGGCGCTTGACAAGGCGGTAGACCCAGCAAACACCAACCTGACCCTCACCCCGGGCAGCCAGCAGGGAATTGGCCATATTGCGCACCTCCTCAACTGTAGGCGCAAATCCACGTGAGGAGAGATCCCTTATACGCTTGACAAGGGCCTCCTCTTCAGCCTTAGTCAGGTTTGATCGGTTGGGTTGGATATCGCGTCGTGAAGCAATTCCTTTGACGCGATCCTTAAGGGTGCTTCGCGGCACCCCATAGAGTGCAGCAACGTGCCGCTGGCTTAATGACGCGTCGCATTTTAAAGCTTTAATAGCAAGGGTGATTCTATCATCACGAGAGAAAAATTCAAGATCAATTGGTGGAGGCATAGTAGGTGGTGGTGGGTTGAAGGTCGGGCTTGGCAGAAGTGGGCGGTTCGATGATGTGGGCGGTTCGATGATCGATGACGTTAGTATGCCAGCCAATCTTTAACGTAATTCTATAGGTCTCTATAACCTGCAGAAGCAACTCAGCTTAACGCTCTCCACTATAGGTATAGCGACATTCCGGGAGAGCTAGTAATCCAGTTTGAAGCTTATAGTTTACATCGACCCACTGTGCAGTAATGCCAAGAAGAGAATGGCGGTTAGGCGAAGACTAGAGATTAGAGGAGATGTAAATAGAGCTCACAGCGGTTTGTAGGCTCTCTTTAATCTGTTCCTAATAGTAGGCTTTATTTGTGATGATTATGCGTAGGAGCGATCGTCGGGTTTTCAGAAGTTGGTCCTCGATATACGGATTGGCAGCAAGAGAGAGCTCTTAGAACTCTTTCTACTTAATAGCAGAAAACGGGAGCCGACGCTGTGTGAAGAGGGCTACGATAGCATCATGATACCGCGGGAGACTGAAGACGTTCCTTATAGAATCGGGCGACGGAGAAGTAGAGAAAAAGGACGTAATCTTGCGAGAGTTATATGTAAGGGAGTTTCCAGTCACTGACTCAGGAGCTGGGCTTGATAACGCGAGAGGAGGAGTAAGAGCCGGTAATAGGTGATTATTCCGAACGTGTCGGACCGCATTCATGCGATGATTTCCGGAGAACGGTCGAAGAACGCAAACTTTGCAGGTGTAGATAGTAACGCCCTTACTACTCCTTTTTATAGATGGAGGCTCCTTAGAGATCTCTATAAAGGAGTAGAAGTTGGCAGGTAAAGATGAAGACGAGGTTTTAGCAGGAAGTGACATAACGTAGAATGGTAACGAGGAAAGAAGCAAGCTTGCAGGATTATATTAAAGACAAGAAGCTTATAGATATTTAACTGGTTAACCGGTTTAACCGATTTAATTATATTAATTAAACCGGTTGATTGAGACCGGCCGAAAATGCTGACAAACTGGTTAACCGGAATAACCGACCGGAATAACCGACCATTTTGCCCATGTATGCCAGTGATTGCCTGTTGAAGCCTGTGGCATTTAATGGGCTCCCAATAATGGGATGGCTTGCCGGGTTTGCACGGACAATACTTCCGTGGTCCTCCGGTTGATCCTCCGGAGTTTCCTCCGCTCGGAGCGGATTCACCGCCGAACGTGGAGAACACTCCAGTTGATCTGCCCTTTCCGCCAGATGCTTCGTGCTCTTGCATGGTCAAGTTAAACACTCTGGCCACATCGTCAAGGCTCATGGTCGGCTGACCCATAGCTGACGCAGTCGTGATCGTTTGTCGCAAATTGTGTGCCCAGTCAGGAGCGATCTTTGCCGCCAACGCATCCAGAAAGTCGGTGACAGCGAGATCACCCTTAACTTCGTGAAGTTCGAACGCTTGAGCTTTTGCATAGAGAGCCTGCCAATCGTTGAACCACTTGTCCACATTAGATCGACCAGTTTTGGCCTTCTCTAAGTGAGCCCTGTATTGGATGCGCAGGAGGTTCTTGGTGTTCGAATCCGATGGCGAGAGACGCTTCTTGAGCTCCCTAACTACAGCCTGTGGAGTGGATATTCCGCGCAGGAGTTGCATTGTGATCGGTAAGAGCAAGTCCTGGGAAACTGTACGATTGATCCACTCATTGATGTTTGCGATCTTCGAAGCCTTCCTAACCCACTGGTTACATAGGACTTTGTAGACGCGAACATCCTCCTCGTGATTTTTGGCAGCGAGCTGATAGGCTGCCTTCTTATGATTGTACTCTTCAAGAGCAGCCTGTTGTTCAGGCGTCTGCTCTGAGGTAGGCGAAGTAGGCTTGACTGGCTCGGGTGGAATGGCCGGATAGACCGGCTCGAGGGATTCGATCGCTGGCATGAGAGTGTCAACATCTGGGTTAATGTATTCCCAGACTCCGCGATCGCGCGAGTGTTTCTCAAGCAGCGGGAACCATAGGTGCCAGTCCTTGTGGGCGTGTAGGATAACATTAGGTGCTGGGATTTTGGGGTCGTGATCCATGATGGTCCTCTTTGTCTTAGGATTGATCAATGGACTCAACGAGAACGGAAGTAATAAATGGAGAGAGATGAACGGAGCAATAATCTGATCGTGTAACCAACGTGAAAAGGTGCGCAGGGAGAATCGATACTGTGATCTTAAAACGCCGGGCTCATAACTATGATAGTTGGGATGACACCGATCAGATTCGTTCAAGAGTGGGATCATTGATTGCTCTAAGGATCAGAAAGATCAGACGGCTAGTCCGGTATTTGTACATGATGGATCAGTCCCTTGGCACGGATCTGGAGTCTCAAAGACCCGATCCGATCAAGTGATCATACGACGTCCAACATCAAGTCCATTTCCGCGACATGGTCTAATTAAGGAAACTACTATACAAGGCTTAATGCCAAAGGCCTTAATTAGCTGGAATGCGTCATCAGCGAGGCTCACCCAAGAAGGAGCAAGAGATCAACAGAAAAGAAAAGAACCTAAGCTTCATCACGCTCAAGCTTCTCGGCAAACTCAGTGGCCATCTTGCTAATGTGATCAGCAAAGTCTTGAACAGACTTGCGACGAACAGCAGCGCGATCAGGAACAGCAAGACGCTTAGGCTTTCGAGCAGACGAAGGACCAGCAGAAGACTTTCGAGCAGATGAAGGTCTAGCCGAAGGCTCATGATCAATGAAAGGATCATACTCATCCTGGCGATAGATGCTCGTCTTACGAGTAGGCGTAGTGTAGTCAGCCTCGCCAGAGAGATCGTCAAAGTCTTCCTCTTTCTGGGAAGAGCGGGCATAGTATGCGTCGAGATCGAAAGCAACATCCTCCTCTTCAGAAATGGATCGGTCATCGTTGTCATCGGACACGGGAGCCTTCTCCGAAGCACGGGTAGTTGGACGCTCAGACTTGAGGCTATCCTCAAGCTCCTTGATTTGCTCCAAGACGACATCGCGATACTTCTTGACGATATTCTAGACGTTCCTATTGGCCATGCACAAGCGATTGATCAACTGAAGCATTACTTACGAAGGGAGCGTCCTTCCGCTGCTCATGAATGCCTTGCTTTATGGCGGGGTAGACAATGCTGGCGATCGACTTGTCGCTAAGAACAGCATTAGCCAACTTGATCAAGATCAAAGATCAGATGCTAAACTTACACGAGCGCGCACGTATGGGTCTTGCAAGCCTCGCAGCGACCGCTCTTGCTGTTTGCCTGGTCATAGCAAAGGCCAAGACCATTGTTGGCGGCCCATCGCTTGACGCATCGCTCGCAGGCGAACTCGCGCGGAGCGCCGGCTTGAGAGTTGAACTGCTTCTTGACAGACGAGCGGGTAAACGGGCTTGCATCGTCCTTGATCGGAGAGGCGGTGCGGCGACGAAACTCGGGCTCAGAGCGATCACCAGCGGCGGAACGGGGAGCACCGGCCGAACGCGAGCCACCGGAGGCAGCGATTTTGGAGTTGCGAGCATGCTCGGCATTGGATCGTTGAGCAGCCTTGCCGCGTGTAGTCCCAGGCTGCACTTCGTTAGTATCTTGCTCACTCACTGCTACGCAGCTGCTCAAAAAATTACCATGAGTGGAGCGGCGACGACGGGCAGAAAAAGCAAGGAGAACAAAGGCGAGAAAAGTGAAGAGCGTGCTGTGCGGGAATGCGAAGGAGTGATGGTGCGGAGCAAAGGTGATGGTGAGGATTGTTGTAATGGTGGAGTAGAAAACATGGAGTAGCTGAGCAAAGGACTGAGCCATAGGCATCAACACCAGGGATCAGCGCTAGCCTAGCGGGAGCAACGCTCTTTCACCCGGGCAACGCTCTCAGCGTTGCCAGCCTGGTGCTCGCCGGCCAGTTTCCAGTGTAACAAACACTCTCCGACCACTCACAGCGTAAGGATTATTGATCATCACCGCGCACTTCACGAAGTTTTCAAACCGCAAGATCAACCGCTCAACCGCCGAAGGACTCAGGACCAGGACGTTGGCCAATACGGATGTTATTTTTCAGCAGGTTTCTACACACAGGAGCAGAAAGTCCGGGACGACTTTTTGGACCGCCATATAGTTGGCGATCGATCAATTTTAAGAGACTGGTCAAAGCTACCAGAAGGAACCAAGCAGCCGCACATACTGGCTACGAACACTTGCTTTCGAGCTTTTTATGGGAATAGAGAGGAGAACGTTCCCCTATGTTCCCTGAGATAATCTTTCTGAGAAAAGAGGAACAGGCTCAAACACCATTCTGAGCAAAAGTGGTTTTTAGAGAAAACAGGAAGGACTGCTCATGATCATGCAGCAGGTCTATTTTTTGAAAAGGCTCGAAGGAACAAGGTGTGATGGTCGAAAAGCGACCGGAGGAGCAGCTTTTTATGCCCATAGAGGGGCGCGCCGGTTATCGGCGGACTTACGGGGGATCAAAAGATAGAGGGGCACAGCAGTGAGTAGTCCGACTTATGCGATGAGCAGTCCGACTTTTTTGAGACGGCGTGGGACTGGGGGGTGTGTCGCGGAAAGGGACTTGATGTTGGACGTCGTATGATCACGTGATCGAATCGGGTCTTTGAGACTCCGGATCCGTGCCAAGGGACTGGTCCATCATGTACAAATACCGGACTAGCCGTCTGATCTTTCTGATCCTTAGAGCAATCAATGATCCCACTCTTGAACGAATCTGATCGGTGTCATCCTAACAACCACACTTGCACTCTTTCTACGCACCCTTTACTATGGACGCTTCTGTTGATGCTCGGTCGCCACCGAGACCTGCGGCGAATGCTGAGGCGGAGAACGCTGCACTTGCAGTTCAGGTTCTTGAAACAAAACAGGAGAAAGATGGTGTTGTTGAAGCAGTTGCGCACGATGACGATGGCCCTGCGAAGTCGAAGTCGCCTCAGGCTGGCTTGAAAAACTATTTTGTAAGTTGCTATCGCTACCACGCAATGTAATACTAACAGAAGCTGCTCAGCGAGTCTTTTCGTATGGAACTGCGTTCGACTTTGTACTCATAGCGCTGTGCAGTATTACTTCGATAGGTTCAGGAATCGCATTCCCGCTGATGAACGTCGTATTTGGTATGCTTCAACGATTCAATCATGGAAGGTACCCGATTGCTGATACCGAGCAGGACAATTAGTGGGCTCATTTACGACTTACTTCATTCCAGGTACAACGATGACATCTCGTGAGTTTCAAGCAGAGGTCAACAGACTCACACTGTATCTGGTGTGTCTTTTCATCGCCAAGTTCTTCCTCTCATACATTTCAATGGTAAGATACAAGTTCTTCGCTACTGTATCCACACACTAACAATGGCAAAGCTCACCATTCGAATCAGTGGTCTCCGAATCTCTGCTGCATTGCGACTCGCATACTTGCGTGCTTTGTTCGCACAGCCAGTCAGCGTCATCGATACTATAAGTCCTGGAAAGGTGTCAACTCGTATCACAACCTCTTCCAATACCGTCCAGCTCGCCATTTCCCAGGAATTTGCTATGCTGTTCCAATCACTCACGCTTGTCATTGGAGCCTACGTCGTAGCGTTCATCAAGAGTCCGTTGCTCACGCTGGTTGCCTCAGCCTCGCTTCCGTTCATCCTGGTGGTTTACGGTGCGCTGTTCCCGCCATTCATGCGAATACACAAGATCACGGAGAAGCACCACGATGATGCTTCTGCCATGGCATTTGAGATGTTCTCGTCCATTCGCATTATCGTTGCGTTCGGTGCAGAGGCGAAACTGGCAAGACAGCATGAAGATATGCTGGACAAGGCTGCGAAGAATGAAAGAAAGGCCGCTCCTCTGATGGGGCTTATGATGTCACCTATGATGGTTGGACAGTATGGTACTTTTGCCATTGCCTTTTGGTTTGGTATCAAGCGATACTCCGAAGGCAAAGAGGCGAACGTTGGGATGATAACAGTGGTGCTGTTTTCGGTGATGATGGCGCTGATGAATATCAACAGGGTCGTTTCTCCGATGATTGCTATCACAAAGGCTGCAACTGCCGCTACCGTACTGTTCGTCACCATTGATGCACCGGTTCCCAATACCGCCGGGCTGAAAGAGCCGGATATCACTGCAGATGCTGATATTACATTCGATAATGTGTGCTTTTCTTACCCCAGCCGACCGGACGTCCAGATTCTCAAGGGCCTTGATCTTGCATTCGAAGCTGGCAAAGTCACTGCTATTGTTGGTCCATCTGGAAGTGGTAAGCATCATGACTCAGTTTGTGGGACTTTGCTGACGTGCTATCGTGTTCTCCAGGGAAATCGACCATTGTAGGTTTGGTACAGCGATGGTACGATCTCAGTTGTATGACAGCTTTAGCCGTACCTGCAACCCAGATATCCACCTCATCCTCTGCAACCGAAGTGACTCAGGAGAAGAAGGCCGAAGAAAGCAAGAACAAGGAAGAAGAGCCTGAATTGGGACCCAACACATGCACGGGAAATATAAAGATTGGCAGCACTGACCTCAGCCAAGTCGATCTCAAGTGGTGGCGATCTCAAATCGGTCTCGTCCAACAAGAACCCTTCCTCTTCAACGACACCCTCTACAACAACGTCGCGTTCGGTTTGAGTGGTACAAGCTATGAAGGCTTGCCCAAAGAGGAAAAGATGAAAATGGTGGAGGAGGCGTGCCGGGAAGCCTATGCCGAAGAATTCATCACAAAGCTACCCGACGGATACGATACCATGGTGGGAGAAAGTGGCATCAAGTTGTCAGGCGGGCAACGACAGCGTATCTCAATCGCAAGGAGTATCATCAAACAACCACCTGTATTGATTCTGGACGAAGCAACAAGCGCCATCGATGTTAGGACTGAGCGTATTGTTCAGCAAGCACTGGATCGCGTCTCCAAGAACAGAACCACCATCGTCATTGCCCATCGCCTTTCTACTATCAGAAGAGCGGATAAGATTGTTGTCTTGCGTCAAGGAAAACTCGTAGAGCAAGGTACACATGAAGATCTGCTGAAAATTGACGCGGGTGTCTACTACGGTCTGGTTCACGCACAAGAGATTGCCATGGAAGCTGAGCATACTGATGACGACAATGTACTGGAAAAGGTCAAAACTACTCGATCTGAGGTCATCGAGGAGCATACCGTGAGCAGTCATACTTCCGAATCCGCGGAACCGGAGTATAAGCAACAGGGTCTTCTCAGAAGCTTTGGTCGACTAATCTATGAGCAACGTCAGCACTGGATCCTATACGCGCTCGCTATTGCAGGCATCTTGGCAAGTGGCGCTGTCTTCCCCCTTCAAGCTTGGATCTTCGCCAGCGTCATCAATGTGTTTACACTGCCAATGAATGAACTTGTCAGCCAAGGTAACTTCTGGGCAGGCATGTTCGGTGTACTGGCAGCAAGCAACTTTTTGTCATACTTCACCATGGGTGCGGCATGCCAACTCATTGCAATTACAGTCACGCTCAAGTACAGACAAGAGTACCTGGACAACCTTATTCGGAAACGCATCGCATTCTTCGACGACCAGGGGCACAGTCCCGGCTCCCTGACCGCAAGCTTGAGTTCAGATACGACGCAGATTCAGCAGCTGACGGCGACGGAAATGTCCATGGCGCTCATTGCTGTTGTCAATCTCGTGGGATGTATCATCATCTCATTCGTCTACGGTTGGAAACTCTCTCTCGTCGGCCTCTTTGCTGCTCTCCCGCTCATTCTCGCTGCCGGCTACCTCCGCGTGCGTCTCGAGATGGAGTTTGCAAAGACAAACGCCAAAGTGTTCGAAAATAGTAGCCAGTTTGCTGCTGAAGCTGTTGGCGCTTTTCGTACTGTACTCAGTCTTATCATGGAGGATATGATCGGGAATCGGTACGAGTCACTACTACAGGGCCATGTTACAAAGGCCTTTTCAAGCGCAAAATATAGCACTGTAGTCTTTGCAGCGAGTGATAGCGTTGAACTGGGGGTTATGGCACTTACGTTTTGGTATGGTGGTACTTTGCTTGCGTCTCGAGAGTACAATAACGCCGACTTCTTCGTCATCTATCAAGCAATCGTACAAGGCGCCATCGCAGCGGGCATGTTTTTTTCTTTTGCACCCAACATGGCCCAGGCGACGGCTTCCGCGAACCGCATTATCAGCATGCGTCCGCAAAATACCTCAGGCCCTTCCAAATACCAGCCGTTGGAACAAACTACCCAAGGCGGAAGTATCGAGTTCCAGAACGTATATTTCACATACAAGTCGCGCGAAGTACCCGTCCTATCCAACCTCAACATACACGTCCGCCCAGGCCAATTCGCCGCTCTTGTAGGCGCCTCCGGCTGCGGCAAATCAACGATCATCTCGCTCCTCGAGCGCTTCTACGACGCATCATCCGGTCGTATCCTCTTCAACGGCCAGGACATCACCTCGCTCAACGCATCCGAATACCGCAAGCAAATCAGCCTCGTCAGCCAAGAACCCACACTCTACGAGGGTACAATCCGTGAAAACATCGCGCTATCCGTCGACGCCGCAAGCGACGAGGATATCGAGAAGGCGTGTCGTGACGCCCAGATACACGACTTCATCACCTCGCTTCCGAATGGGTATGAGCAGCGGCTGGGGCCAAAGGGCTTGTCGTTGTCTGGGGGTCAAAAACAACGGTTGTCGCTTGCGCGTGCACTGCTTCGTAAGCCTAAACTCTTGTTACTGGATGAGGCGACTTCTTCGCTGGACTCGGAGTCGGAGAAGTTGGTGCAGGAGGCTATTGAGCGTGCTGCGGGAGAGGGGAGTAAAACGGTTATTGCGGTTGCGCATCGTCTTGCTACGATTCAAAAGGCGGATGTTATCTTTGTGATGGGGAGTGGTAAGGTATTGGAGAGGGGTGACCATCAGAGTTTACTGAGGAAGAGGGGAGTTTATTGGCAGATGGTAAGTCCTGCCCTGAACTTTTGTTGTTTGATGATGTGTGCTAACCTTTGTGCAGTGTCAAGCTCAAGCATTAGATGGTTGAGGGCGTTTGGTGCTGCGACTTTTCACCTTCGACACATGTATTATTATTATTGTTGAGAATACAGTCCGTAAGTGACTTGGTGGTATCAAGCGGAGGAGTAGTCACATGATTGGTGACACGTGCAGGTGGGTCCTAGCGGGGAGCTTGGACGCAGCTGCACGCAACACGGATCTACGAACGTGTGAATAGCTCCTTAGTCAATACAATACGAATCTGTACCACCACTACCGTTGTGCCTTAGAGAGCGCTCTATTAGGTAGTCATACTACTACTAATAGTGTCAGCTTCTCAATAATTATTATTATTATTATTATTCCATTTGAGTCCTTTTTCAGTCAGAGACTATGTAGGACTGGGCCGAGGGCCGTTCTATCTGGTTTTGTTTATCGTACAATTTGGGTGTTTGTTTGGCTATGGCATTTTAGGCTTGCTTCTAGCTAGATACTCGGTGTCTAGCTAGTGCCTGGTGCTAAAGAGCAGTTTGGTGAATAGAAAGAGATGTAGCAGCGGGCTCTTATGGCAAAGGGGAAGGCAGTGTTTTTTAGTTTTATACAGTGTCTCTCTGTGTGTCGTCTGGTAGCTGTCCTTGGTACCATTTTCTTGTTCCGATTCTAGTGCTAGTAATAAAAGCTAAAGTAGCTTCTATACCAGCGCTAGTATGGAGAAGTAGTGGTAGAGTCGCTGGTTGGTGATGAATTGCTTGTATAAGAGTTTTTCTTTCTGTTTTGTATAGAGAGCATTGTAAAAGTAGGTGCTCTGGTGTTTGGGTGTGCGAGCAACTGCAGAGGTCGGATTCTCTTTTCTTGAATCTCTTTAAATAGGACCCAAAGTATCCGTGTCCTATTTTGAGAGCATAGAAGGCGCTAGAGATTTCTCGATTAGTGCTGCGTGGTATTTGGATTGTTTTTCGGATTTTGAGTGGGAATTTTGCTGAGTAGGTCTTTTTGTTTAGATTAGTTGCTCTTGTTTTGTATTTTTGGTACTCTTGGCGTTGTTCGGTTTGTTCGATCTTTTTGATAACAGTGCCTAGGTAGGCAATGCTTTTTGTTGATGATTGTGGGACTTCTTTAGCAGCTTCTTTTGCAAGATAGTCCGCTCTTTCATTCCCTACTATGTCTGTGTGTCCAGGTGCCCACAGTAAGTGGATAGTAGCTTGTTTTTGTCGGATTGTTTTTGCTGCTTTTAGGCATCGTAGTTGCCACTGTTGCCCTGGGTTATCTGATAGGTTTTTGAGCCTATATATTGCTGCCTGGTTGTCTGCGTAGATCTCAAATTCTTGATCTCTTGTAGCTGTCTTTGCTGCGTATTCAAAAGCTAGAGTAATACCTTCTAGTTCACCGTTGTAAACTAGCTGGTATTCCCCTATATTAGTCTTTTCTGAGTAGACCTCTTGCTGGGTTGAGTTGTAGGCTACGATGCCAACACCTATACCATTTCCATCTTTTATTTGCGAGGCGTCTGAGTAGATTGTAGTGCAGTTATCTAGCCTTGTTTTAATGTAGGCCTTATGCTCAATTGCTTCCTCTTCCTTGCGTTTTTGTGAGATTTTTACTTTGTAGTTAGGCGTATCCCATGGTCTAAACTGGTATGGGATAGTCTGTTCTGTATCTCTTTTGTTGTTTTTAGGAATTGAATTAGTAATAGCTTGTAGCTGTCGGTGTTGGTCTGGCTGACGTTGCTCATTGCTCCCCCGCAACGGGCCTTTTGTTTCACAAGATACAAAAATATGATATAAGCTCCGAGAAAATGAAGATACGACCAGTTAATGTTGATGATTTTCCCAATACAGGCCTCGCCAACCACCTGCTGATTGAAATCCGGTGACGGACCAATGTCGATCGGAGGCAAGCGTGGCTGAGCTGCGTTCGAGGTCGGACCATAGAAATTGCTTGTACAAGATAGCAGATGCTCACAAAAGACGGAGGGCAGCATATGAAATCCGGTGTAATCTGCGAGCTTGAAGCTGCGATGGCAACTACTAGTCAACTCATAATAGGGTTGAGTGTGGATAGTAGAGGATTGTGGTAGCACGAGGAATCCCGGTGAATGCATATGCATGCATCTGCAGCATTGACCTGTGGTGGTGGGATGTAAGAGGGATGGCGAGATGTGCGAGCGAGGCTGGAAAGAGCGAGTGGCGTCTCTAGTGCGGAGATCAGATCTCATACGGCAAGCGCCAGCCTCTGCCTCGGTATTTCCATGCATTCGAATGTTGGAACGCAGAAAGGTGGGACCATGCATGCGATGGCCTGGCTAGTGTAGTTGGTTTTGTATAATCTCTTACTTGATTGCTCCAATGGGATGGGCGTCCGATCTTGCGCATCAAAATGGCACGAACAGAATGCATTGTCAAGTCAACCGCTCCTCCTCTTGGAGCTGAGCCGGAGGCTGTACAAGTGACTTTGATTACACGACAGTAGCAATGACGTGACAATGGAATTACACAACTTGATTCCAGAAGGCATTAATTTATTCGGGTTACTCGAACGTATGTGATATTCTATATTCTTACGTTTGTTGAGCATAGAAGCAGCATCTGCATGACAAACAGTGCATAGTCAGGCTACTGACGACACGGACATGGCCGTTCAGCGTAGCATTTCGGGGTACGCTGGTATGGTGTAGTGACTCCCGGATACGTTTCTCGGGTGGAGCTGAAGGATGTTGCTTCAGACAGACAGTGGCGTGTTAAGCACCTGTACATGAACCGGAGCTTGTCGGGAAAACGTCGCCCGACGGCTTGCAAGAACGTGTTCATTGCCTGGGATCCAGAGGTCGACGTCACGCGTCTCTACAAGATGGTCGAATTCCTCAGGTTTTGGCCATGAGCCTCTGCGCTTTGGCAAGCAAAATGGTGCTTTCGCGACCGAGTTTTCTCTTGCCATTGGGACCTCCCCTCGCCTTGGCCATAGTTTTTCTAAAGCGCTCCCGTTCAGCGATTTTCTTCTGACGCTCCCTGTCTGCCTCTTCCCTCGCTTTTTGCCTCTCCTCGGCTTCCTCCCTCTTCTTGCGCGTCACCTCGCTCTCTTTCTGGAATGGTTGTGGACGCCGTCTTCGCTCCTGCCTCTCTATGTATCGGGTGCCTTGAGGTTCAGGTGACTTCTCTTCCAGCATAGCGACTCGGTCAGGGTGGGGTTCCAGGCTGGGTTCTGGTACAGGGTCGGTCGTGTTGTCGGCTTCGCGTTCATAGACAGATTTGCGCGGTGCTGTTGCTTCCGTTTCTTCACGTGCTTTGAGCTTTGCATACTGCTTCTTTATCTTGGCTTTCTCGATGAGGCTCTTCTTGATCTTTTCGACTATGCGCAAATTAGTAGGTATGGTGGAGAGCTACGCTTGATGGGACCCAATACGTACTTTTCCGTCTATGGGTGCCATCGGGCAGATTTGCAGGGCCAATCTTGAAACCCTTTTTCTGCTTCCATGCCGACGACTCGCCGCCTTTCTCATGTCGTGGTTTTACTCCCATGATGACGACAGCGGTGGTGGATGTCGGTAGATCAAAAGTGAAAAGTGAGCAGGCAAAAGACGGCACAATACCGCGCACGCGCGCGTAGTTTCCTCACTCAGTCTTGGCAGAAGCGGGGCGGGATCGGCTGCATGGCTGCATCACTGCACAACTGAGGCCGTCTCAGCTTTGAGCACCGTTGTATCTCTGCAGAGCATACCTACGTACAGTTCCATCTATTCACTTGGTAGCGCACGTGCAGGCACAAAGCCAAAACTTAATTCTTCTCGTCGTGTGACCTCTTGCGCCAGGACCTCGGCCAATACCGGTTCGACCGACTGGAGCTCCTTTATCAGCAGCGATTAGAAATTTGCCGTCATCCAAGTAGTTGCAAACATCACAGCGCACAGCGCATAGCCCGTCATCCCTCTGCCTCTCCGCACCTCAGCCCGGAGCGCTCCACGGTGTTTCGCCTTGTTTCCTGGCCAGTATGACTGTGTGGTGAGCCGGCCGCTGGAGCCAACGCATTCGCGCCAAACTGCTTCTTTTACTCACATCATTCGCCGAGCCAGCACGCGCTCCATCCTGACCTCACTGTCTCCGCCGTCGTCACACTTCCATAATCCCACCACTATTATCTGATTCCACTGAGATACTAGTACTCATATCTATGCTGTTTCTTACAACATTCTCTTTCAGTCATGCCTATTTTCCATGATCCCAATGATAGTCCACCCGCGCCGTCATACTTGGCTCACACCTCGCCCACCAACCTTGAAAGAGGTGGAGCCACGAGACTTGACTCGGAGGACGATTGGGGCAACGCCATGCGACAAGAAGAAGCCCTGACTGCCCAACGGTCGCTTGAAGTAGACGTCGAGTCTTCCACCCACACGCGCAAGCCGTCCATGTTCGGTCGCAATGAGTGGATCGAGAGGATAAAGAAGACCAACAGCCCATCATGGTTACAGTGGCAGGGTGTGAGTAAAGAAAAGCCAAAATACACTCGGTAGCGCTTGTGTATCCATGCAATAAATACTGACTTGATTTCTAGACCGATATCGCAAATCATGGGCCTATCCCACCACGTCCGACTTCTGGAGACCGTCCAAGCCTTCCACGAACGCCTTCCACCGAATTGCAAGCTTCGCGCACTTCTACCCCTGACCATGTCCGAGATGCTGCAGCGGCAGGCCTAGACATCCAGCGCCCTCGATCGGCATTACACTCGGGCGACTTTCGGGAGCAGAGAGCGGCTACCGCAACCGACCATGGCCACTCGTCTGCCGGTTTTGTAGCCACTTCGCCTGTGGTTCCTTGGGACCGTTCGTTTCCCGCGGCTGGATATCCGACCCGTACTAGCCATGTCCAATATTCCGAGCCGAGCAACGACGACACTCGTACTGTCGCGCGGGCACGAGCGACGTCACACTCGTCACACAGTCAATTCACACTTCTGCCACCCACAAGCCCCCTTGTGTACCAGGCAAACAACACAGGTCTAGACTTCTCCTCTGGTCCGAGTTCGCGAAAGACCTCTCCGAGTCCTGACAGAAATAATCGCAGGCATACTTTTACCCCGCCTTCTTTTCAACCGTACCAGTCCATACAAATGGCGCGATCCGCAACCGGAACTCCTGCAGCTCGCCATCTTCGTCATGGCACCTCCTTACCGTATCAGGCGCATCAACCTCGGCGATCCATGACAAACAACATATCCGAACCTTACTCTCACTCACACACACACCCTATCTGAGCCCCCGACGGCCATCTTTCTCATCCGAAGCATCCCCACTCCAACACGCTCCGATGGTAGGTTCATACGAGGAGTCAATATTGCGAGGACGTATGTCAACTACGCCTTCGCGACCTCTAGACTTTGTCGCCAAAATCGGCGTCCTTGGGCGTGGAGATTGCAAGTCGAGTCTCAGGTGCCCACCTCATGTAACAGTGCCTTTTCCTGCAGTCTTCTACAGCTACAATACAGGCAATGGTAGGATCTCAGATAACGAGCCAAGTCCATATGTCGGTCTCATAGACCTGGAAAACTCATTACCAGCGCCCGATGAAAGCAAAGAATCCGGTAAACATAAGCGTCGCCATGCTGTACCTCCCCCCGATCAAGATGACTTGGACTTTCGGATACATCTGGGAGATGAAGAAAGTCTACAAACAACAAAAGGGAATCTTCGACGAAAGGAGAAGAAGAAGAGACGGTCGACTTTACCGAAAGCGCCTCCCGGGGGATGTTACCGGATTCCGCCACAGGGCCAGCTTCAGATAGTACTGAAGAACCCGAACAAGACGGCCGTGAAGCTATTCCTCGTCCCGTACGACTTGTCCGACATGGAGCCAGGGCAGAAGACCTTCATCAGGCAGCGCAGTTATTCTGCGGGGCCTATCATCGATATGCCCTCTTCTTCACGAAAGAACTTGGGCACAGACTGCCCAGAAGCTGCTCTCAGTAGTTCCGACGATCCCAACGACCGACCTATTCTGCGATACCTGATTCATTTGCACATATGCTGTCCGTCAAAGGGTCGGCATTATCTGTACAAAAGCATACGCGTCGTTTTTGCCAATCGAGTGCCAGATGGTAAGGAGAAGCTGAGAAATGAAATTCAGCAGCCAGAGCCAAGATACAGCACGTACAAACCGACAAGAGACTCTATGGCATCGCAAAAGACCCAGTCTAGCGGGCCTCAGCTTACAGACAAAGTCTCCCGTCGTCGCAGCGCTGGATGGCCACTTTCTCACTCACAGCAGGCCTACGATGCGCTTGATAACATTAGGCAGCACACACCCTTGCCTCCTCCAACAGTGAAGTTTACTGGTGACAATGCCAACTCATCTGCGTCGAGCAGTTTCAGCTCACATGTAGCCGACTTACAACCCATTCCCTTTGCTCTCAGTCGACTAGCTGCGATTCAGTCACAACCTGTTTCTCGCGAGTGCATGGATGTTGATCCGAAGAGCCCCTTCAGGACACCTGTTACATCACCGAGGCCTGTCGTGAGCCCGAATAGCTCCAACGACGGCACGTTTGAGAAACTCAGCAAAGGCGACATTGGGTATGGTGGGAATGCCTTTTCACCACTCGGGAGCCCAACTGGACCTCCGAATGCAGGTCTACTGTCGCAGAAATTGCGGGGGCTGGGTGTGCAGCGCGATGGAGAAGAGTCAACGTGATACTTCTGCCGAATGCCCATGTACAAATGCATATTTCTTTGTTCCTATTTGGCCCATGTCGTCCCATCTTTCCTTACTGGATACCCCACATACTTATCATACATCTTATATGGCGTTACGCATTGTCACTTCTATATTAGAAAAGGGCCAAGGGCGTTGTTAAACAAAAGTGGCTAACATGGTTGGCAAGCGAGCGGCGCACCCAAAAACACACCAAAAAGCGGAGTTTTGGCAACTGAACAGCTCAGCAACCACCAAATAGATTTCTCTTAAAATCTTACCGTGAAGCTGCACACACATAAGCATGTAGATTGTATAGTTATAGGACTATAGCTAACTTGGTCGTAGAGTTGTCAAGCAAAAACGAAAAATTTCCATTTTCTTAGCCCCCAAACTCTATATCTCTACATCTAGAGTAGCTAGGGCCCTGTAACCATAGGATCTTATAGAATTATAATCCTAGAGCTCTAGTAAAACTTTTAAGAAAAATCTATTTGGTGGTTGTTGAGATATTCAGTTCCCAAAACTCCGCTTTTTGGTGTGTTTTTGGGTGCGCCGCTCGCTTGCCAACCATGTTACTTGGGAAGGCATTATCTACTCCACTTTAGGTTTATGTAAAATTATAAAAGTTCAATGAATATAAACACCAATGTTACAGAATCGTAGGCCGCATACTCATGCACAATGATGCCATGCTTGTTGTAAGGCTTAGCGTCCGACGTTCGCGCAGAGTTCGCGAAGAGTGACGTCGGCGTTAATTCGCTACATCCGAGCTTCAACTTTCTGCTACCGACAACTCGGCATCTCTACTGATAGACACTATTACAACCTACCAACCTTCTAACCACGGAAGTCCCGCCACGATAACTCCAAGGAGGAACCACATACGAACTCTTTTCCGGTCTAAATCGCAACTATGTCCTCGAAACACTTTCTCAAACTCCTGGGCTCCACCCCCCGATCGCAAACCTCCGTCATCGGCCGTCAACCAGACCTCTTATCCAGAATCGTCGGCTCACAAGCAGTACACGGCGGCCCTCCATTCGCGCAAAAGAAAAGCATTCATTCGTGGTGCAATACAGAACCCACGTTTCTTATAACCAACCCATTACAAATAACACAAACACAGCACTTCCACCCATCCCCCCGCTCCCTCCGCTCCAGCCCCAGCTCGACGGAAAACAAACTCTACGAATTCGACGATGTATACACCCCTCCTTCCCCTCCCCCTGACTTATCCATCTAACCTCTCAAAAAAGGTGCTCCACATACTCGAACACCCCTCAGACTCCCGCCTCCTAATCGACGTCCGTGAACCCCATGAATACGACGCAAATAATATCCCGACGGCGATTAATATACCAGTGACATCGCACCCGGATGCGCTCCTACTGCCAGAGGAAGAGTTCGGAGAGCAGTTTGGGTTTGAGAAGCCGCCGAGGGGGAAGGAAGTTGTGTTTTTTTGTAAGGCGGGGGTGAGGAGTAGGGCTGCTGCTGGGATTGCTAGACAGGCTGGGTAAGTCTCCGTCTCTCTATGTGTGTCCTTTTACTGGGAAAGGGGATGGAGGGCTAGATGGATGTGTAGAGGGCCAACAGCTAACGCCTTTTTCAACAGATATGTAAATGTGGGAGAGTACCGCGGCTCGTGGCTTGATTGGCAGAAGCGAGGAGGGCCGGGGACTAAGCCTACGGCTAGGACGGGGTCGAGTGGGGAGGAGAACTTGGGGCCGGATGGGAAGCCCGAGTATCCTCCTGGGGGACTCATGGGGACAAAGCAGTAAGAGTATTATGAATGTTTGCATGGATTGTTGATATACCATCTGATGTGCCACTAGACATTAATGTCGAGGCATGTATATACATTGCCATTCAAGCTATCTAATTCGAACTTGCTTGTACACGCACTAAGACGCGGCAAAATATCCATTCTGTTGGTAGGCCTTGTACGATCGTACGGGGTGAATAACAACAACGAGGTTCTTCTAGTGACTGGTATTGGTATTGATTGTTTACGAACATAGCTGCTACGAAGGTACACCTAAGCTCTGCGCAAGGTGGGCCGAAGTCGGGCCGAAGTGTCCAGCAGCCGACGTCTCTACCGATACTCACGATCCGACAAGAAGCAGATTAATACTATACGATAAGGAAGGTTGCTGAGCGCTACTCACCTGCTCTAGACGTTGAAACTCCTCAAGGTCTTCCTCACCCCAGTTGTACGGTTGCAGTCTTAGTTTTGATGCGTGAGCGAGATGCTTTAGCCTGCCCCCTAGCTCTGGTTGCACATCTTCATTTGTAATGTTGGGGTGCTCTAGATCCAGCAGGGCGCAACGTGCAGTCGTGTTCATCGTCCGTGAAGACCAGAAAAAGTACCCAGTCATAATTACGTTTGTGACTGATGCTGGAGCATGCACAGTACCCGGCGGCTGTATGAGTAGATCGCCATTGCGCATCAAGACTGGAAAGCCTGCCTGGCTGGGCTCGTACTTCTCTCCACGCTCGCGGTCTTTGGCCCAATTCTCCAACTCTTTGTCGTCCAGCGACCAGCTGAACCACAGCTTTTCTCCCTGTTCGCACAGTACTGCAGTATACAAACCATGTTTGTCCACATGGGGAAATGACCAAGTCCCCTGCTTTCCCCACAGCGCGAAACTATCTGGAAAGTTGAGACCCTGTCGGTTGTCCTTGGCAACTCCGGCGCGGTCGCTTGCCTCCTGCAAGACTCTATAGTCGGCCAATCCCTCGAGTTCCCACGGAACCACATTATCTCGTAGCGTACGAATGTTGAGGAAGTTGACAGGCCCGTATCTCGAGTTATCCATGTGTTTTAGAGCGTCATCTAGCTCCCATTTCTGCGTAATCTCCTCATTCGAAAAGTCCTGTACGTCTATCCATGCTTTGCCCCTGACTGGCTTGCGAAACTGAAGTTGTTGGCGGAACTGTTCGATAGTAAGTAGGGTTCGAGGTTGCGGCGCATCGTTGAATTGCTGAGGCACCATCAGCGGGACGGATAGCGTGCAAGTCTCAAGTAGTTGGCGCGCTTGCCTTGAGGTACATATTATAATCGTGCCCTCTCGAAATTCTGGGCCACCACTGTATTATTCCGACGCGCTGATAGGGTGGACATTCTGATGTTTTTCCAGGATGCGCTTGTATTTCTCAGCCCGGTCAAGAATCCAGTTGCTTTTTGTCCCGTTAACCCTTTTGGACAGGACCTTTCCTAGATAGTTCAGGGTACCATCGAGCGCTTTCTGCGCCTGTGTGGGAAAGTCGCAGATGTATTCTGCTACGGCAGCTCGTGCATTGGTGATAGTGCCGAGCAATCGTAATGGTAAAGTACCGGCTAGGTTGTAAGTCACCTTGTCGATGCGATCTCGAACGAGTGTGCAGCCACCAGCGCTCAGATGGTCGTCTCCGACTATGAAAAACCAGCCGGGCCCAATACAAGTCAGCCGTAGCAGACGGTCAACGGGAAAAGAAAGAGACGGGAAGACGATATGCAAGGCCCATGGTGCTGCAAGCAGAAGTGCGATAATCAAGGACAAGCGAAAGGCGTCCAAGCCAGCAGACGGCCTGCAGCCAACACCGCCAAGGCCAGAAAAAGCAGAAGCTTCATCTGCTCGAGCTCGAACCGGCCCCTGAGCGATTACTCGGACGTCATTCGCAGAGCCGCAATCTTCACTCAAAAGTGGGTCAATCGGCCAGCACATGTCCGGCGGAGAGAGACAGAGCTGCGAGGCGGCTACGTTGCGAGACCTCTCAACTCGTTTATGCTATACCGTTTAGCATATATCGAAGAGGCACTGTACACGCAGCCCAAACAGCAGAAGCTCTCGGCGATTATAGCAGACAGCTGGCGCAAAGAGCCTGAGGTCGTGCGCCAGGCGTACGACGCCTATGCAAAAACTGAGCGCCGCAACCACCACGAAGCGTATCCCGGATACAAGTTTTCCCCAAAGAAGAAGAAGTTGGTCAAAGAAGAAGATGCCAGCCCGGAAGAGGAGCTGATGCCGATTTTCTGGGACGAATGTAACTGTGATAGCTGCCGGCTCGCCGTGGCCACGAGCAAGAAGCAAATTCGGGACACGGTCTTGGACCCTATCAACGCGGGCGCTTCTGTGCCGCTGCCAGCGCCTGTTAACATGACAGCATGGCAACCCATGTTTCTGCCAATCCAGCCGACCCTATGGCAAGACCAGTACAGCAACCAGGTAGCAGGAAGCAACCTTCCCTGGCCGAGTGTGATGACGCCATCCTTGTTTCTGGGACCATACAGCGCAATGTGGGAGCCGACCATGCCAACTACAAACGGCTCCCCTATTGCGGATTCGTCGTGGAGCGGGCCGGGAATGCTGGCCGGCGTCAACTACGCGATGCGCGCCCATGATCCGAGCTATTGTATCTATTGTGTCTATTGTGGCTATCAGTGTACACCCGGCGAGGCTGGCGCGCTGCCGTGAGCCAGCTTGGAGCCAGTGTAGCACTGCCCTCTGACCAAGTCACGCTATCCTCCTGACCGCGCCATAGCGGAACCACACACACAAGGACGTATAGTTGACGAGGTCGAGAAGGCGGAGGCTCAGAGAGTCTTTCGTGCGCATTATTTCGAGCATAGATACGCCTGCAAGGACCCGTTGTACGTTCTATTCACGGTCGCAGCAGCAGGCTCTGTTGCGATCTGTTCGACTGAGCATCTCTACGATAGTGGGCAGGAAGCTATTTGGGCGCTTTAGTCGGCGACGGCGTGCGCGCTGCAGGACTAACGTTAGATGTGTAACGTTTCGCAAGGAGGGTAGGTAGAGGTGGAGCGGAGACGGCAATATCGTCGATCGGTCGTGGGTTGCGTGTGCAAAGGTGTATTGGCAAAAGCGGAGAGGTGTGCTGATGGGGAGGAAATCGGGGGTCTACCTACAGTAGTACAGAAAGATTAGAAAGATTGACATCCTCGCCCGCTATAAGCTAAACGAGCATTTGTAATGACTTAGTATGTATAGAGCGGAGCCTGACCTGTGTATTAGGCAGGGTATAGAAGCTGATGTGGGCAATTTTCTGCGGCTGGAGAGGCAAAGTGGTTCCAGCGTCTCAATCCCGCCTCACGCCCCGCCTCACGCCCCGCCTCACGCCCCGACTCACAGCCCCGACTCCAAGTGCAACTCAAGCCCAGCTCGAGCCCGATTTCTGCGCGCCGGCTGCCATCATCCGTGTGAAGGTCTCAGCAATGAGTCGCGTTGTGAGAAGAGACATCGGCGGGGGTGAGTCGTCGCGGATTGGAGCTTGCAGCGTAATACAGTAGGCTGAGAGATGCCCGTTGGGGATCAGCAAGCGCCTTCTCACCCTGCAGGTACTGGCAGCTGCGTTCGAGCCGTGCGCGTAGCCTGCTTTCTAACACGGCAATGCGGGGCTGCGCGATTCACAGGCAGGTCGCGCTAGCCCTTTTTCGCAGACGAGTGCGCCACACGACCCAAGACACGGCCGTCGATTCTATCGCGTGCGGAGCTGAGGCGGTTCGTTTCCAACAACGTGGTTCGGGGGTAATACTGTACAGTGGTTAGCGATTGCGGCTTCCCCCCTACACACAGCTGCGCAACGGTTCTTCACAGACCCACCTTCCGTACACGGCTTAACGCAAGATGACCGCTGCAGAACAATCGATGTGATTGGTCAATCCTCGACCTATTGATGACTGAACTTTTGGGATGCTGCTTGGAGCGTGAAGCCGCAACCGCTAACCACTGTACTGTACTGTATCTCCTTGTGGCATTTCCATTCACAGGGACCGCCACTCAAGGCTATCAGCAAGGAAACAAGGCCACACGCCTGCAGCACCCGCTGCTTATGCTTATGCTTATGCTTACGCTTACGATGCCATCGCTGCACATTGTGACTACGAGGATGATCGACAAGGCCCTCCCGTCAACCCCTGCCTCCTAGGCGACAAACAGGGATTGTAGCATCCTTGCGAGAAGGCGACATGGAGGACCTTCATGGTGGCTGTATCCCGCTTCCGCGAAGAAGGATCTCTAGGATCCGCAATTTCGCTTAGCTATTTTAGATACCAGAAAGGTGTGATCATTTGCGGTGTTGAAAGACTCGATGAGTTATCTGCGCTGGTTTGATAAACTGCTGGCGGATCGTCAACGTTGACACCAAATACCTCCACTTCCTCAAGCGTTCACAAGCGGTAAGGTCTAACGAGGCGGACTATGTACGACGCAAAGAAACTCACATTGACAGCCATGTGCCACGCTGCAGTCTAACCACTTACGTTATGACACTGTGACGAGGGAATAAGATGCATCATCTATCATCCTATAAAATCAAGGAATTACAGGTCGATTATCCAATTTTCAATGGCACTGATAGCACCCCTAGTTGGATGATCTATGGTGCGCCACTGTGATGTTAAAGGCATGTCGCGCATAGCCTCCGATAAGGCTGAGAGGTCCTTCATCCTGTCACCTCACCGCTCTTCAGCCGCTTTTCTTGCGATCTCGGCGATCCAAAACTGGGCGCTTTGAATATGGCCTTGCATGGAACATGGAGGATGCTGGGTCGGCGACTAGACGCTGCTATTCATCACAGCGGGCGTCTACGCCATGCAGCCACTTATCACAAATTCGGGGATTATACCCATGCGAGACCTGGCCCGAGAGCGTCCTTTAGACATCAACGAATTTCGTAGTACTTGCCATGTTAGGCAGTATGATGACGGCGAGAAGGCAGCCGGAAACGCCGCTTTTGTATCCTCGCAAATGAGAACAGTGAGCGCTGGTTGGGGTAGGCAGTCAATGCGGCGTAACATTAGCACAACACCTTGGCGTCGCAGGGGAAAGCCTTACTTGCAGAACAGTCTAGTTCTACGGCTACTGGGAGTACCGGCAGCACACAGACCATCCCCTGTTTTGTATTTTGTCTTACCGGTGAGCCACCCTTTGGTACATGGGGCTGACAGTATCACTAGTAAAGAACCTTGTTAATGAGCTGTAGGATATTCGCTCTTCTGACGGCTCGAGTAGCAGTATTGTGGCTTCTGATGGGCTTAGTAGTCACCCTTGAGGGAGCAAATATTCGATGACTAAGAGTCTTGACAAGAAAGTCAATGTTATGGTCATGTCGGGATTGGCGAGCAGTATCTTTGTCTCGAGGTCCGGCAACGGCTCATATCGAGTGGCATAACAATGTGGCGATTATCACTGTCAAGCCGCGGCCCTGTACATGGCATACAGTCAGACAGAACATACTAGAGGCTGGCATAGCTCCGGAAATGCCGACCTTGGGACATGGAATAGGATTTCGAGTGCCGCGTAGGCTGGGGGTCGAACGAGCGGTGAGTTGCGGGACGAAAGGCATCTGGTAAAAAGCTCAGGACGATGCATGTACCGGGTCTGTGACGTGCGTTGCATGGCTGTAGGGAAGGGATGTCGACAGGGAAATATAAACCACGTCTTCGCCTCGGCATGTCGCGTATTTCCTCGGTACGCGCTGGGCAGCCCCGGGTGTCGCGTTCCTGCGCCCAGTGGCACATGCTGTTGCTGCCTTACACTGGGTTCCTATGTGGCCGTATCTTTAGCACCTGTAGCCCTGCTTCACTCAGCACTGTCGTTCGTATCGTTAGCACTGGAAGACCTCGCTGTGCTAGATTAGGCTCTCATCGATGATCTTGTTAGCATCCTCTAGCCTGATGAAATCGATGGTAATAATCCATTTAGCAGAAGTCTCTAGTCAGCCAACTTATGTATCTTATCTCTGCCCAGGGGATGAACGGTTTGTTCTCCCATAGAATTCGTGCTCTGTTTTCTTCAAACTTGCGTAAGTTACATCTATCGTGCTTGTGCGTATGCCGTATACCAGGACGTCGTACTTCGGGATCTACACTGTATTCCCACTGCCATTGCGGTGGGCCCAGTCGTCCGCAAACTGTCGCAGCGTCTCGACCTCGCTGCTGCTAGCTGTCTTGATGCTCAAGTCTCCGCTCTTCAGCTGGTTAGATGAGACAATCTTCACGCTGGCTATGGTATCATTGTCGCTCTGCTCGATGGTACGCTGGACTTGAAGGTTCAGGTTGTTACGGTTCATTGCCCTGAGGCTCTGTATAGTAAGCGAGTCCTAATGTTCACCATGACCTCACGCTGTGTCTGCACAGAGGATGCTTTGAGAGCTTGTGTATTGTATGTACCTGCTAGTGGGACGCCTTTAGCTGCCGCTGCGGCGTAGCTCATTAGTCCATTCGCCTGTTCTTGTGGTCTTTTGTTTCTAATCTCTCGCGCCATCTCCAGCATCGCTCTGCCCACTTCCGTGGCGTCCTTGGCCGCTGCCCTCGCCTCCTCCGCTATGTTGCCATTCCGTTGTATATTTGCTGCTAGTTGTTGAACGAGTTCTGCTGAGGTCGAAGGAGTGCTGCGTCTTTAGGACGAATGTCAATGCGCCGCTTATGATATCACCAACGATACCTGCTGGAAGAGGCTGCCTCCTTTGCGCTCGATTAGCGATAGTACCTCGCCGAGGAAAGCGCTGAGGTTGGTCGCGTGCTCGTCTATTGGAATCGGCCAGGTCGACCTTCAAGGCCACGGTTTCGCCATGACGTCTCAGCAGTAGTGGGCGCTACTTCTGATTGCTGGCTAGTCGAGTGCCGTCTTTAGTAGATGTCTGCGTGCGTTGAACTCGGTTCATTCTAAAAAAGTGAGATTCTCGCTGTTGTTGTGTTTTTTTGTAGACCGTCATGGAGCGAGTGCATGAGCGCGTGTCGATAAGATGTGGATGGGCGCGTACCGATAAGATATGGGTGGGCGCGTACCTACTGTAAGCGTCCGCCCACAACGCCATTGTCTGGTGCCGCGTCCCCTACTGTAGATCCCCGAAATCAATATCGCGACAATGCGACACCATCATACGCTAAGTAAACGCTATTCTGAGCGATAACTGATACCACCTTCACCCCATCCTTGCTAATGGATTTCCTATAGTATTTAAAGACCTACGAACAACGCGGTAGAATTACGGTACTCCTACTCCAGCCGCGTAGCCTTCTCATACCGGACAAGCTGGTCATGGACACGGAGGATCGCTTTCTCTCTGACGCTCTCACCTGGCACAATGCCTAGCTAGCATTGTCATGCTCCTAGTTCAAGTCGGCGAGTCACCGCGTGACAGCACATATGCGGCGATAGCGAGAGGTATGGACATGATAAGCAGCGAGCTAGACCGCAATAGCACAGTTACATACACGGCGGCGGGGCAACCAAGTTTAATTACTCAAGCTGAGCGCCTGCTCTCCAACCCAGGTTTTTCTACCCCGCGTCCACGCCTCTTCACTATGTGTCGGTATACTACAGCAGATATTATCTATTCCCAGTGTCGATTACCAGCTCAACATAAGATCGTGAAACGTCTTTATCAGAGATGCGAAGCTTCTCCGAAGCCAGGACCAAGATGTGAGAACTCCACGTATGATCCGGCTCTTGGCACACACATACCTTCAAATCGAAACGCTCCCTGCAGGTTTTGTCGAGATTCAGGCACATCCGTCGGACAGGAGCGTTTTGAAGATGTAAGTTATACCATATGCTTCGTCTACCTCAGATCATCTAACTGTACAAATAGCATGACCTTCATGGTTAAGCAACCAGCCTGGAGGGACACACAGAGACCGATGGTGGGATACGATGGATACCATGTCATACACGGTCCTTGGAGCTATCTTACAGCTGGCATATCTCCACGGGCTCAACAAATCCTTAATGCTCTTAAAGCATTGAAGAACACCGCTTTCACATCCCACTCGCCAGGGTTGACTTTCCTAATAGCTACCAAGCTAGCTCCTAGTTCTTGAAGAACTTCATCCATAGAATCGAAAGTGCCATCCCAACAAGCCTGCATCAATTTACCTAGCGGTATGTTTTCGACTTCTGGAAATTGATTCTCAGCATATAGCTTTTTGACACGGATCATTCGATCCTCAAATGGGTGAAGTTCGTCGTATGGTTGTCTTCCTGTTATAACTTCGTACATTGCGCAGCCAAATGCGAAGATATCGGTCTTCCGGCTAATTCTTGGAGAAGATTCCTTATAACTAAACCACTCATAGCAGGCTCCTGCATCTTCTCCATCAATGCTACTGCCTTCGAAGTCGATAATCTTGAGGCGCTCCTGAACTACAATCCAATTGTGACATCCAGTGTCAGCATGTATAATGCCATTGTCGTGCATGTATCGCGTTCCCTCTGCAGCTTCATGTAGCCAGCGAATCTTTGTATGCAACGGGATCTGGTTTGCTCCACTTTCTTGAATCACTGTCCGAACGGTTCTACCGCGTTCAAGAATGAGGCATTTGTCTGTTTCACCTAAACATCTTACAATGTTTACATGTAGTCCTAGACGTTCGAGTGCTCGACGCTCGACGTCGATTTCCTCCCCGTGGAACTCCTTCAATATTCTTTCCTCGTCGATCGCATATACGACCCCCGATCCACCAACGGCAAGGAGTTTGAGACTTCCATAGTCTACAGCCTGGTCTTGCATGTGCTCCTTTATCATTCCGAAGGCCGTGATCTCATGCTTCTCTGGCACGAAACGAGAAACGCGTAGGTTCTCACGTGCGAGGTGCGGTAGGTAAGAGTTTTGATCGAGGGAGCGGGCTCGTCGACGCGTGAAGGGGTAAGATCGCTTCGGACTGTGGGATGTAGGCGAGACGACAGGAGATTCGTTTTTCGAGGAACGCGACAGGTGAGAGTGATTGTTTTTAGCATTAAGCTGACTTGCTTTCGTCGCTCTAGGTTGTCCACATGGATCGTGATGGTAGTGGACCGGGCTATGTACTGGTGCGCGACATGTATCGGCAGCGCGTCTTTGGAAGCCGACGCAGCCAAGGTCGTTGTGGCATAGGCGTATCGCGTTTATCTCGGGATATCTTCGGTGATTATATCTCGCATTGCACGACTTTTGATTGGACATCTGGAGTAGGAATAGCGCCAAAACTTGTTACCAACGAAACTGTAAGCAATGACACTAACACATCTTGAAGTAATTGATGATCCATTCAAATATTATAAGTTCTAAACGCTTAGCAAAAAGCAACCTCTTAATACGTTTTTGCAACTGGTACCATCACTGGCACTCCTGCCTGTATAAGGCTTACTCTCACGACTTTGCCCTTCGATATTGATGGACCAGCTCCGACATCTGCCGATTTCGCCTCTGCTTCCAGCACAGTACTCTTGCGCTTCCGACCACGTCTGACCGTACTTGCAGACGTCGTGGCCTCTACTGCCTCCTGCGTAACATTTTTGCACTTCCGATCATGTCCCGCCTTAGCTTAAGCCTCTTTAGCTGCGTTCTCTTCCGCACGCTCCAACCGTTTTCCTTAGAGATGCTCATAAGTAAACACCTGCTCAGACCCCTTCTCTAGTATATCTACTCTAGTCGATCGTCGGGGCTTAGCTTCGTTACTAACTGCCATCGAGAGTCAAGTATGGTTTTGCTGGAGGGCACTCTTCGTCAGGATTAATTGGGCAGCTTTGGCGAATTTCAGTAAATGTCGCTGTAAGTTCTGTTTGCTCATGTCGTCAAGAGCATGAGCATCCCTTTGCAAGATTAGGTTCTGCAGCGACATAAGATCCTCTGCTGATACTGGTGTTACAGGCGTTTGCAAAAATGTATCGTCTTGGCAAGGTACTTCGTTGGTCACCGCAAGAGTTAGTTCAGCCGGAAGTTTGGGCACAGTCCTGAGTACTCTCTCTGGATTGAAGGGGAACATACCACGTGCAGCAAAACTAGCCTTGATGTTCTTAGGCGTAAACGCTCGCTCTATCGTAGGCTTGTGTAACGAGGTAAAATGCTCTTTGCCAATAGCATTAACACCTCCTCGTTCTATTCGTTCTATTTGTTCGCGGTAAGATAAAACCCTGGAGTGAAAGCAAGTGTGATGATATTCTATCTATGCCCCAGGCTCTATCTGTATAGTTTACTGGTGTGCCGTCGCACCATTGTATGAGGAGGATGTCACACCAGTGTTTGGCTACGGATATCACGTAATCTGGAATCCAAGTAAAGCCATCAAGAATCAGAACGCGGGGTCTCCCGTTGGCACATTCCTTGGCCTCAGGGTCAAACACACACTTGAGCCACTGCAAGCTGATGTTGGAGTCGGCATATCTAGATTCATTGCACGCATACTGCCAACCAGGAGTGGGTAAGACAGTCCAGTTGCTTCGATGAGTAGTAGCCGGCCAAATGATCATAGGGTTTAGATACCTACCGTCAGCGCTAATGCACTCGATAGCAGTAACTGTCGTTCGCTTCACGCGCCCGCCTCCATAATTTCGTTTGCCATCCTTACCTATGAGGGCTTTTACAGAGCCAAGCATTGATAGCATGACCCCAGTCTCGTCCATGTTATAGACATTATCCGCTAGGATAGCTGGGTTGCGTAAGATCTGCCCTATCGCCTCGAGCCAGTGTGTCATCTTGGCCGCGGTGTTCTTGTCGTGGCGGTTCCAGTCTATCGCCATAATCCGTCTCGCTGCCGTTTGTGGGTGACGTTTCTCGAAAGCCTTTGCCCAGTTCTTACCCGGAGGTTTAAGAGGTCTGTCTGTCGGGGGTCGCGTTCGAGCGGCTATGAAGGCGAGGGAGAGGATGTACTTAATTCGCACGGGCTGCCCAAGGCCTGACATCTGTAAGATGAATTTCACGAGCGCACTTTCTTCCCACGGTGTTAGGTACTGCTGACTTTGCGCCTTGTCCTGCATCGAGGGTCGGTCGTGCGCGATGATAGAGGGTAACAGGAGCGACTCCGCTGTGGTCTGCTAGAGTCGGAATTGTTGAGGTGGGAGAAGGCTGTGGTGGAAGGCGACAGCCAACGTCCTGATAGCAACAAAAAAGTCACCGCATTCTGGGCTCGAAAACAAAAACCCGAGGCTGAACTGTGCGCGTCAAATTTGGGTCCTTCCCGTTCTGTTCTTATTTTCCTACTGTAATTGGCCTGCAGCGTACTGCAAAGCAGTCGAAACACAACTGTAAAACACGCTTCCTTGGAGGTGCAACACCGTGGTGATGTATTTCCTCACAATAAGGACATTGGACATAGACTTGCGATACAGTCCAGTAGAGCACATCGATTTGCGGACATAGCAGCATGCTAAGAGACATGATATGTTTGATGAGAAAGAACACGAATTCGATGCAGAGCCATGATTTAATTCTGTATAAGTGTCAATGGCAATCGTGAAGCACGTAGAGCGGGGTATATAGCAGGGGCTGAGCGCTGCGCAATAAGGGATGTGGTACAAGTGACGGTACGAGGACCGAAAGCATTCGTCACTGGCTTACGTCAAAAGCCGCAATTTACGGTCTTGAAAACGACTGTTAACACAAGTACGTATCGAAGATGAATGCGATGCTTCTCTCTGTTGCTCCACCATCCTACCATCATGATCTGCTCCCATCAAAATGTCATCATACCCATCCGTATCCCGAATCTCCAGTGCAATGGTTCAGGCTAACCTAACCTAACCTAGCCAATATCATGCTGGGGTTTAGGCCTATACCCCAGCATCATATTGGCTAGGTGGGGTGGGCCACTTACTAGTGTGGGCCGCTTGCTGGTGGAACATGTCAGTCTATCATCTGACATCAACTTGCCACTTCCCCTTTCATAGACAGATGCGGGGTAGGCTGAGCTCAAGAAGCATAACATACTAAGTTACGCACTGTTACGTACGAGGCTTTCTAGATGTGTAGAATATGATACTTGGTGAGTGGCCCAATCTAACTACGGAGACCTTACGCCACGGTTGCTAACGTAGATCAAGTTTACAACACCACCTACCTTTAGCCCCACGCTTACTATTCGTTGACATTGCCTCATCTTATCCGGAGGTCGAAATGGCGGACGCAGCAGGAAGAATCAACACACTCCAGGTTCGCTGCCCCTGCGGTGAAAGCTTCGAGAACGTGGAGACGTACTGGAGCATAAATGGCTCTGTGGAATCCATCTGAAAGCAAGAGATGCCATTTCTATGACTTCAAGCCCCAGTCGAAGGGCCGCCACGGTTCCTGCTAGAGCTTCAATTCCAGCTTCAACGCCAAGGCCCGTGGCCTCTGTAGCCTGTTGGTGCGACAGCACATTCAAGAATCACGATCAACTTCAAAGACACGGATGCCACTGTGCAGTCTATAAGCAACAAATGAATGCGCGTTCAACTGCATTGGGTTTGATCCAGGTCCCAGAATTAGATTCAAGTGCAGATCCGGTATTAGCGGCCGAGAAGAATCCCATTGCACCGGCAGAAGCTACAGCACAGAAGATGCTGTGCCCTTGTGGACAAAGCTTTACGAACGAGAGCAGGCTGGAAGATCATTTACGGTATTCGAAGACTCGTCAGGCAGGAGAGCCTAGATCCGGATCTACACTCAAAGGCACAACGCCAGCTTTGGAGCCATTCATGGCTCCACATTCACCTCCAACTTCGATTTCCCCAGCTTCAAAACCAGTACCAGGCATTGTCCCCTCTTCAGTGCTCACTTTAGCTTCGCCTATCTCCTGCACATACGGCCATGTCTTCGAGACTCAACGAGTCCTTGAGCTACACAACCACGACTGTTTGTATCATAGCCGGCCAGCCGACGAGTCCCTTACTCAAAACCAACAAGACAGCTCCTTGGTCTCTTCTTTCGCTTCCCTGGAATTGGAGCCCGTGTTAATGCAGGTTGGGCCTTTGCTAGCTAGGTTTGCCTGTATGTGCGGTTGTACATTCACCAGTCAGAAAGCCCTCGAACAGCATAAAGAGGAGAAAAGACGCCTTGCATGGCCGAAGAAAGGAGAAAAGGGGAAGAAGATATTTAAGACGCCTCGACCGAAGTATCAAGACGATACGTGCTTGCGAGATATCTGCGCAGCCCTCGCACGGCAGAATGGTGATGGAAGATAGTGGAGAAAGAGGTCCAGATAGGCCAGGTGCACAGATAGTATACACCTATAGGGCTGCACAGTCTCTCTACTGAGATATTGATGCAGCCGCACACGGCTTGTTCTGGAGCCTATGAGCAGGTGATTCAGCTGTTGCGCGTCAATGGCACGGTCGTATGCAAATAAACTTGTTCCGAGTGTCCGTAGTAGATCACAATGCAAAGCGCCCACCAGCGAAGATGAATAAGATGCACGCAAGATACACGAGTACTTGGACCACAAGTGAGTCCAGGTCTAGAGGAAGGTGTCGCCGTCAGCCGCTGCTGTTCTGGAAGGGATTCTAGCCTTTGGTTGGTTATTGATATATGTGCAGGCTGTAGAACATACGTCCCTGAGAGTCGTTTCCAGGTACGCAGTTAGGGAGGGGAATCGCGGCGTATCATGAGATGATGGAGTCGGCCACATAATTCGGGCCCAGCATGCCACCATGGGTGATAGTGCCGTTGTGAGCAACTGTGGTCAGCGGCCCGTCTTTGACATTCTGTCAGACTGCTTTTTTTCTAAGACAAGGCGCTTGCTTCGGGCCAAAGTTCGACACTGCAAGGTAGACGCGTGGCACAGCAGGGACCCGGAAGGGAAGACGATGGCGAACCAGTCTGTGCGCCTCTAACGATCGTGCCTTCGCCTGCCGCTGGCGGTCTTTGACGGCGTCCCTCTTCGTTTATCGCTTAGATATGCCCGATTGCGATTGCATGTTGAAGACAAATAGGGCGGCAAGGGCTTGATGGGTGACGGGCGACGAAATGACGAGATAACGAAATGACGAGAGGAGTCGGAGACGAGCGCGGGGCGGAGTGAGCGAGCACGGGGCGAGCAGGCGAAGCGCGGACGCAAGGTGATGTTGAGGGCGGAGACGAGAAGGTGAGATCCGTTGGCAAAGTGCGACAGCGAGGCCGAGAAGAAAATGGATGGGGTTGCGGGAAGCCAGCGGGAGGTTCGAGGGCAAGCTGGGGCCAACCGCGTCACCCAAACAGCCAGGCTTCCCCAAGCTCCGCGCAGGAGAAATGACGCCAACGATCGCTTTGTCCGTCGCGAGACCAATGACCCATCGTTGCCAGCCAAGAATGCGCCTTCGGTAGGAATAGTTGAGGAGGTAAATGGCAACTATGCCACAGTTTTACAGGCGTGGGTGCGGAGAAACCCTTGATCATAGTCGGGTTGGACAGAGATAATGTTGGCAAATAGCACCGAGCAGGACCTAGATCGGCTGACGCCACCACGTTCCCCACTCATCGACACACAGGTCGCCAAGTGGCATTTCACTGACGCGAGCCTCTGAATATTTACATGTTCGCGCATCGTGCTTCATCACCTCTCAATCTTATCATTGCATCGAACGGCTCGCAGAGTCATACCACTGTATTTATAACAGCGTTACCAGCGGTCAACTGCGCAAAACTCTGAGCGCACGGCACATACGTATGCAGAATGAGGTGCATACGGCTTTTATAATGCATCCTCCACGAGCAATCACTGACGCGTCCGCATAGTTTCTCGGATCTGCCTGGTATGCGCCCACTTGAGCCTGACTGCTCTTATCCATTGCACCGACTGGGTAATCGGATGTCTCTCGGCTAATCACCGCTGGAAGATCCATCACTGGTAAACAACGGCACGGCCGCAGTGCAACTAGTCCCCTACACAGAGCCTTCATCCTATGGTTCCGGAAGGGACCAATATCAAGCTATCTCTGCTCAGGAAGAGTGTGCTAAATTCAGCCTTGAAGAACTCAGGTTGGCAGATTACGAACGGGGACACGCACCATCTGCTAGGCAAAGAGATGATGTTTCAACAATGCTCTCCACTCAGCCCTTACAAAGATTGCCACGGACCGATGACAAGAAGCATAACAGCCATCTTGCCCTGTATGTACCCCAATAGCCCTATCTACAGGCCACAAGATTGATATGCGCAGTCTTACCGGCCCCACGATTGAAATCCGCGTCGGCACAGCAACCTCTATACACAGTCCTGCCGACCTTTCAGTCAATTGGTTCTTACCCAAGCGCTTGATCTCGCACCACTCACCTTTCCTTGCAACTGCTTCTTATCGAGACTTCAAGGAATGTCGCGAGAACCTAATCGAGCTCCCGGACGACAAACCCACTGTCTTTGCGCTTTTCGTTGAATGGCTGTACTACGGAGATTACACGACCGAACCACTGTCGGCGTCCTTTCGCACTAGAACCGATAGCGTCAGTATCGACGCCGAATGTTGGGTCCTTGGCGATAAGTTATTATGCACTGACTTCAAGAATCATGCTATGAGGCGTCTTTATGAACAACATACAACCAAGATCCTCGCCAGGTCTATCTCGACGCACGATGTGCAGTTCGTGTGTGACAACAACGCCAAAGCTTCGAAGCTTCGAGAGCTGTATGTGGATTTGACTGCTACAAACTTCGGGAGACAAGATCGCGTTCATGGAACCGTGGAGGAATGGGACAAACTTCTTTTGAACCAATCCGATTTGAGGCGGCTACTGTTGCAGAGTCTGCGTTTGGAAGCTGCTGAGCGGAACTTTGTAAGAAGCGAGGAGCACTACCTGGAAGACGGCGATGCTCCTCTTCGAGCTTGTGATACTTCTTCTTCCAGTTTTCAGTGTGTCCATCGACCAAGTAAGTTACTTGCTTGACGCCAGAGCGCCAGAGCACTACAATGGACTAGACTAAACTAGTCAGAAACTTAAGCACCGACGCGCGACACTGGCCAATCACCTCAAGACAAACTGCTCACGTTGAAGCAACGGGTTGAACCGGCCGGTCTAGAGGGTTTGCAGTTGCTTGAAGTCCTGATTTCGACTAAGCTAGTTACTCGGTTGATAGACACACGGGCTTTCTGTTCTGTAGTTTAGAATTTTGGTAACAGCGAACCGGTTCATAATAAGGTGCTCAAACAGCAGGCTTGACGACAAGATATCCTTCACAGCTTTGAAAGTCTTCTTTGCATCTCGTGTCATCAATTCGAACGCTGCTATATCATCTTCTAAGTCAATAGTAGGATAGAGCGAAGTTTACTTATACACTCTCATGCACTTGCAGCTTCCGCTTTTTTCCATGCCGCTCGCCTTTGATCCCACGCAGCACATTTACCTACCTAGTATGCGCTTGTCCAAAAGGGATCAGGCTCTGCAAACGATGGGCTTTAATTACTCCTGACATTTGGCAGACGATTGACTCATAGCATTGTTAACAGCAGCTAAGTTAGTATTACTCGGTTAAGGTCGTGATTAGACGAAAGTTCTTGGCGTGGGATTAAAGGTCGACTGCTTACAAGAACCGGAAACCGCAAGTGCATGAGAGTGTAGCTGTGTGATACACTCTCATACATTTGCGGTTTCCGCTTTTTGCATCCTGCCTAGAATTCATCCCACGCGATCTGTCGTCTCGACTGGTCAGCGCTTGCCCAAAACTACTTGGGCTCTGTAAGCTTCTTATTCTAATTGGCCAGAAGATACTGCTGTCTCCCTACATTAGAAATTGCTGACAGGAGCTAGCGCTCTTCTGTTAAGATTACCATCAGGCGAGAGAGGCTTCGCGTAGGATGAAAGATCGATTGCTTGCAAGAAGCGAAAACTGCAATTGCATGAGAGTGTACTGTAGTGCATTGAGTCCATTCTTGGACCTGTCCCTGCATTTGCAGTCGCTTGCGTAGGGCTTGATGGACGAGTCGATGAAGATCTAGCGCAGACTCAGCAGGTCGTCTGGTGACGAGCGCATACTTGTCAAGCATCCTGATAGCATCTTCTCTTGCTTGCATCGAGACTGCCTCTAGAAGATCGAGCGAAATGGCTTTTCGGTCTACGCTTGCAGCAAGAAACAGATAGTCAGCGGCAAACGCATGATCACGGCTAATCTGGTCTATGGAAAGAAACAGCGCAGTAGGTACAGGGTCTTCCACGCCAGACTCTTGAATTCTGCCTTTAGACAAGTCACCGCTATACTCTATAGCGAGTTCTCTGTGCTCGTCTAGTTGTAATCGGTACTCTTGCACTGTCATACTACACTCGCTTGCAGAATCGGCTTCCGGTATCTACACTTCGCGCTCTTTCTCATCAGCCTCGCTTAGCGGGAGCTATACCTTATACGCTTTAGATTAACTTAAGCTACCCAGCTCCTGCTAGTATCTATAAATTGATATTCCTCTATCGCCGGAAGCTCATAACGCTGTGGCTCGTGCGGGTCAACCGTCCTCCCTGCTAGCTGTTACGAACAAATACCAGATGTCTCCCCTAGACAAAGGATGCGAGGTTGGAGGCCAACCGTCGCGTAAGTCACAAGGTGATGACCCGCGCGGGGCGCGCCAAGGATTACGTGACTGCCATCACGCCAAGACGGTGCCATCAATGATGGCATAACCTAAGGGTGATGGCAGCCATCACATACTGGGGCTGACATCGGTGATGGCAGGCCTTAGCTGTGATGGCACAGGACAAAGGCAACGAGTATACAGTGTTTCATCGGCTCGTGCACGGCATGGGCTCGTGCACGATCAACAACATTCACAACAAATCTTCAACACCACATTTCTCAGCCAATATGGACCCTATTGACGCAGCTCTTGCAGCTTTGGAATCGCTGAAGCTTAGAGAATCACCCAATTATACACAGGTTGCGAAAGAATATGACTGCAATTGATCAACGCTATCACGGAGACACCGCGGGGTGTGCGCGTCGCGTAAACAGGGTTACGTCGAGCAGCGACACCTCAATGCAGCGCAGGAGTTACAGCTTATACAATACATTGATGGACTCTCTAAGCGCGGCTTGCCACCTACAAGAGAAATGATACGCAACTTCGCCTCTAATATTGCTCGAAAATACGTAGGAAAATGCTGGGCAGACAGGTTTATCGAGCAACATAAGCTTGATCTACTATCACGATGGACCTCCGGCAAGGACAGCAACCGCCACAAAGCTGATTCTAGCGCTAAGTATAGGTTGTATGTCGACCTTTTGCAGCAAAAAATCGAGCAGTACAACGTCGAACCGCGCCACACATACAATATGGATGAGAAGGGTTTCTTGATTGGTGTGCTATCAAAGATGAAGAGGGTGTTTAGCAGGCGTCGCTATGAGTCTGGAGAGATGAAAACTCTGCTACAGGATGGCAATCGTGAGTGGATAACCCTGCTGGCGTGTATCTGTGCCGGTGGGAGTGCTCTCACGCCTGCTCTCATCTATCAGGCAGCGTCAGGAAACATTCAAGACTCATGGTTACAAGACTTTGATCCATCACTACATAAGTGCTTCTTCACTTCATCACTAAGCGGGTGGACTAGCAACGACATAGGCCTTGCGTGGCTTCAACAGGTCTTCGATCGCGAGACAAAAATAAAGGCACGACTACAATACCAGCTGCTTATACTTAATGGCCACGGCTCACACGTAACGATAGACTTTATCAACTTCTGCGACAAAAACAAGATACTATTAGCTGTGTTTCCCCCACACTCAACTCATACTTTGCAACCGCTTAATGTGGTAATGTTCTCACCATTAGCGGGCGCGTACAGTAAAGTTCTCGCGGATTTTATGGATATGTGTCAAGGTCTCTCATCCATCACCAAGTGCGACTTCTTCCGCCTGTTCTATATCGCCTGGGACGTATCGTTTCACTCCAAATCTATCCTCAAAAGCTTCCAATGCACGGGCCTCTCTCCATTCGATCCTCAGCAAATACTCGCACGTTACGCCTCTGCAGATGCTACACGGCCTTCTTCGAGCGATAGTATAACTTCAGTAATAAGTGCGAGCGATTGGAGGAAAATAGAGCGACTTCTGCGCGTAGTAGTAAGGGAGGAAGCAGTAGAGCCAACGAAAAAGCTCTCACACACAGTCCACGCTATGGCTGTTCAAACTTCCCTACTACAACACGAGAATGAGCGGCTCCGCGAAGCGCTCACCAACGAGAAGAAGCGTAGGCAGCGAGGAAGAAACTCAAGCCACCAAGGCCTACATTGACGAGATGCTCGGCAAGGGTTTCATTAGGCCAAGCACGTCACCATACGCCTCGCCCGTCCTGGTAGTCAAGAAAACAAGGGGAGGACTGCGAATTTGCGTTGACTACCGCGGTCTTAATGCTGTCACGCGCAAAAACAGGAACGCGCCACCTGCTATTAAGGAGACGCTGGCACGGATGGCTAAGGTACAGATTATGACGCTCGTCGACGTCATCGCTGCCTTCAACTCCGTACGCATCAAGCACGGTGACGAGGAGAAGACAGCGTTTCTCATCCGATACGGGTTATACGAGTACCTTGTCATGCCCTTCGGCCTCTGCAACGCTCCAGGCACCTTCCAAACGTTCATTAATGAAACGCTCCACGATCACCTTAACGTCATCTGCACAGCGTACCTAGACGACGTCCTCATCTACTCTGATGACGAAAGCAAACATGAGCAACACGTCCTGACGGTGCTTGGCAAGATTAGCAAAGCTGGCATGTTTCTCGACGCCAAGAAGTGCTCCTTCTCCACCAAGCGTGTTCGTTACCTAGGCCTCATCCTCACCACCGACAGTCTAGAGATGGACTCGAAGAAGATCGCTACTGTCCTTGAATGGCAGATACCCCGGTCGATTAAGGATGTGCAAGCTTTCCTCGGCTTCGCGAACTTCTACCGTCGCTTCATTAAGGGTTTTTCATACCTAACAAAGTCTCTCACCGAACTCACTAAGGCCGACGGCAAGAAAGCCTTCCCTCTCACCCTAGACTCGCCCGCCGTCCGCTCGTTCCAGCTCGTGAAAGACGCCTTCAAAGCTGCCGGTATGTTAGCTCACTTCGATGCTGACCTAGACACGTGGCTGGGGACTGACGCCTCCGACTTCGTCACCGCCGCTGTCCTCTCGCAAATGCATGACGGCGTCCTTCGGCCTATAGCCTTCTTGTCCCACAAGATGAACCCTGCGGAGTGCAACTACGAAATCTATGACAAGGAGCTTCTCGCCATCGTTCGCGCGTTTGAGGAGTGGCGTTTTGAGCTAGCCGGCACCGTCGACCCTGTCAAGGTCCTGTCTGATCATCAGGCTTTACAAACCTTCATGACGACCAAGCGACTTAACCGCCGCCAGGCTCGATGGGCAGAGTTTCTGTCAGAATTCAACTTCAACATCACTTATCGGCCTGGAAAACAAGGCACGAAGCCGGACGCACTTACGAGGCGCCCAGGCGACTTGCCCGAGGACGCTGATGACGACCGACGACAGCACCAGTGGCAAATCGTCATAAAACCCTATCAGGTCGACCCCGCGCTGCGAGTCGTTGCCTTGACAAGCCGACAAGGTCCGGACACCAAGCACGCCACATGAAGATTGTTGGAAACGAACTCGCCGACCAGCTGGCTGACAACGAGGCCAAAGACCCGCACCAGCCATACGGCATGGCCGCCTCCCCCACAAGATCTGGTATACGAACAGTAGGCCGCCGCCTCCTCGAACATACAAGGGACACTTGGTGGAAGGATAAGAGCAGTAGGCTATCAGCATGGTACACGCAATGGCAGCTGCCATACGATACTAGGCGCACGCCCGCAGCGCTATGGCTACCCCGAAGGATACTCGCGAAAGTCCTTATGATACGCTCAACGCATGGCGACTTTGAATGGTACCACCGAAAATTCAACCACGAGGATACCTCAGAATGCCCATGCGGTAGGCCCAAGACGCCAGAACACCTAGTGTTCTGCAAGAGAGCCACAACACACTTCAAGAAGTGGCCTCTACGCCCCATCGTGCCCCCTCGCACAAGACAGGAAGGCCTAGCGTACCTCGCGCAATTAATAGACCAGCCACAAGAGTTCGAGACCTTCGTGAAGGTAACGAACTCCTTCTATGACGAGTGATTTCTATTTTTGAATTTCACAAAGACCCGCTGAATTCCTTGGCATTATTCAGTGTAGGATTCGCGGCAAAACGCCGCATAGATGCCACAACCCACACGCTCTCTTTTAAAACTTTCATTGTATCTTAAATTGCCTCTTGTTACTTTTTCGTTTCTCTCTCTAAAAAGCAGTTATTGTACTGCATCGATCAAAGGCGCAAGCCACGAAATACTAGAATATTGTAGGAAAACGGCTTCAAATGGCGGGAGTCCTTTTCACGAACATGTATATAGGCAGGACATCACTCCCCTTAGATACAAAACACCTAGGAATAGGTTCCACGAGGCAAGTGCGACAGCACTATAAGACCACGGCGGGACCCGCCCGAATACCCTATGGGAGGTTACAGATAGGGCGTTAAACCATAATCAACATCAACATCAACCAAAGCTCACATCACCGAACACCAACTTTTAAGGAATTTGGGACCCTTATAAAATTATACGATTTTTACATCATTTTAACGCACGGCGGCCTGTAACTACCTCAGCTAAATAACCGCTTTCTGCTCTCGCGGAGGTGGTTAGAATGGCTAATGTAGAAACTCCAGAGAGGGCGCCACGGAGTGCCCAACCCCCCCATACACGATCAGAGGAGCCTGAGAGCCCTATTAATACTGACCTGCGCGGCAACAAGAGGAGGCAGCGAGCACATACTCGTGCTGAACCTTCTATCGGTAGCACTGCGCCCACCTCCTACAATCAAGCTGTCTCTGAAGCGGTCCGCCAGCGGATTCAGGCAGCCCAAAAAGCTACAAACCTCCACCACTCCATCATAACGGATCTAGCGACAGCTGTCGACAGATGCCTTGGGAAGTACACCGACCCAGACGGAGCCCGTGTGGCTAAGGACCTTCAACAGAAGGTGCTAAGGGCTATTAACACCTCCCTAATCACGCCCCTAATCACGCCCCCAAACTCAGGGAGCGACTCTGACACTACGCACCGCTCCTGGGCGGACGTAGCTAGGACCCTGAAAAATCCAACCCCCCCAGCAAGGGGGGCCGCTACGACGAAAGCGGCCACGGCTGCCCCAAAGCAGCTAGCTCAAACTCCTAGGCGACCTCTAAACACTGACAACCGTATCCTTATAGCGGTTGGAGCGGAGGCTCGGCTCCAA